CCCCTCCTGCAGGTGTATCTGCTCCTGCAGGTGCATCCCCTCCTACAGGTGCAGCCCCTCCTGCTGGTGTATCTGCTCCTGCAGGTGCTGCCCTCTGCAGGTGTATCTGCTCCTACAGGTACAGCCCCTCCTGCGGCCTCACCCCTCCCGCATCTGCATTTCCTCCTGCAGGTTACCTGAACGTGCTGGTGAATAGCCAGTGGAAGTCTCGCTGGTGCTCTGTCAGGGACAATCACCTGCATTTCTACCAGGACCGGAACCGAAGCAAGGTGGCCCAGCAGCCCCTCAGCCTGATGGGCTGTGAGGTGGTCCCGGACCCGAGCCCCGACCACCTCTACTCCTTCCGAATCATCCACAAGGGCGAGGAGCTGGCCAAGCTCGAGGTACCGTGGCAGCAGCAGGGCAGCTGGGGTGTGGCGGTTATGGCTGTTTTTGCTACCAGTCTCAAGAACTGTAATCCTACCAAGGGAGAATCAATGTCCCCGCATGTTATTTTTGCTTCCTTTGCCTGAGATTGTTTGCATTTTCTAAAATTCCATTCCTTTTCTGACCTTAGGGTGGCTGTGTTATAGGAGTGGGACAATGAGCTACTTCCTGAGCTTAGGGCAGAAAGAGTATTTATAACTCCTTGAGTGCTGGAAAAGCTTCTGGGGATTCAAAGTGGGCAGTGTTTTGTGTGTGTGTCACCAGCTGGGAGTACCTCTAGGCCCAGTACATAAAAATGACGACTGTTAGGGCTTATCTGGGAAGAATGAGCTTCATAATACAATTACATTCCTCCCCCCCACCCACCCTCTGTTTGATGTGATGTTGCAATTACAAAAATAAGAAGTGACATAATGCCTCTCAGCCCAGGCGGAGTCCAGATCCTTTCTACACACACAGATGCCTGTTAACTCCTGGTTCCTTACTCTTTATTCAGGGGTCCTCACCAAAACTTTGCTCCAACACTGCCCTCTGGTGCCCACATCACAGTTGCTCCCAGGAACCTGCTTATGTCCATTCACCATTCATCTGTCTCCAGTTGACAAATGCTTCCTCAGTATAGTAATAGGGTAGCCAGAGAGATACATGTCCCCTGCCCTCAGGAAACTTACATCCTTGTTCCAGAGTATGATGCCAGTCAGCTAATTACCCAGCGAAGGGAGGGTGACATGCTCAGGTTTGGGTTTTGAGGCATTCCTGCTACAGGGTGGGGGACAGATGGAAGAAGTGGCAGAGGAGCCCCGTCAGGAAGCTGTCACAGCTGCCCAGAGATGGGCAGCCTGAACTGGGAGATGACTGTGAAAAACTGCCCTGAGAAATCAAGTTGAAACCAACTAAATGTCAAATTCTGCTAAATGTCTCACTGCCTCCCTGATGGAGAGTGTAGCAGCCACAGGAGGGGTGCAGATGTGGGTTCGATGCCACAGGAAGGTGTTTCCTTGTGAAAATACACCGTGGCTTTTGTGGAATTCCCAGTTTAGTCTCAACATGAAGGCGAGAAATAATGTTGGCGTGTTAATAGAGGGTATCTTAAAGGTCTCCCCTAAAGTCACACAGTGAAAACGAGAAACTGTACCTAGATATGCCTTTGTTTGCAAAATATTCGTTACAAAATTTTACAAGGAGGTGGTTAACATGTAGAAAATGTTTTGTGAATATTTTGTAAAATTACTTGTAATTATTTGTAAATAAACGTATATCTAGCTACAGTTTCCCATTTTTCTCATGTATGTAGGGATGACTTTTGGGATATCCTGTAGAAGTACCCAATGTATTTGATTAGAGTACATTGTGGGTTGGGCACAGTGGCTCATACCTGTAATCTCATCACTTTAGGAGGCCAAAGTGGGAAGATCATTTCAGAATAGGAGTTCAAGAACAGCCTGAGCAATATGGGGAGACCCCATCTCTACAAAAAAAAAAAAAAAAGGCTAGGTGTGGTGGTACATACCTGTAGTCCCAGCTACTCAGGAGTCTGAGGCAAGAGGATTGCTTGAGCCCAGGATTTTGAGGCTGCAGTGAACTACAATGATGCCACTGCACTCCAGCCTCGGCAACAAAGTGAGACACTATCTCAAAAAAAAAAAGAAAATTGTACCCCGGGTAAAAAAACAAGAACCAAATACACTGGGCCTAAGATCATCATTTAGCAGTTGAGTTACTGTAAGGCATTTAAAATGTCTTGACTTTATTTAAGCCAAAAACAAGAATAAATTTGAATGTTGTTAATTTTTAAGCAGAGATCCAGAGAAGTCTTGTACATGTGAGATTAGGGTGATACACTGACGTGGTAGTTCATAAATTAGAAGTCTCAGCCTAAAGTACATATACAATTCTTTAATACAGAGGGTGCCAAAAAAATGTGTACACATTTTAAGGGGAAAAAAGTTATTAAAATTATAATACTTAATGTGTACTAATAACAAAAGATGAGTACTGGTCATAGTGAGCACTTCTTATAATTGCAGAAATAAAACGTGACTTGAGTTTTACAAATTTAATAGTTTTTGCCTTTCTTAAATTGTGTGTACATTTTGGGGGGCACCCACTATAGTTAACAATTATAATAACTATTAACAGGTGATTGCTTTATTTGTTCCTTTATTTTTGGAGACAGGGTCTTGCTCTGTCACCCTGGCTAGAGTACAGTGGCATCACCAAAACACACTGCAACCTCAGACTCCTGGGCTCAAGTGATCTTCCTGATTCAGCCTCCTAAGTAGCTGGGACTATGGTGTACACACTGCACTTGGCTAATTTTTCTATTTTTTGTAGAAATGGGGTCTTGTTCTTGCTCAGGTTAGTCTTGAACTCTTGGCCTCAAGCAGTCCTCCCACCTCGGCCTCCCAGAAGGCTAGGATTATGAGCATGAGTCACCATACCTGGCCTCCACTTTAATTTCTAATGGGGAATCATCTCAGAGTAACTGATAGTTACTGCCTTCTAGATACACCTGCATATGAATCACACTTGCAGATAAATTCCACAGCATCATGAAGGCAGCATGAAGATGTCACTGAAAGGAAATGTTATTTGGGTCACTGAGGGACAGGATATGTAAACATGAGGGAGCATGGCCCCAGGCTGTCGCAGAAGCCTGTCCAGGGAGGGCCGGCACTCGCAGCTCTGCTCATGTCTGCTGGTCTCCTTGCAGGCTAAGTCTTCTGAGGAAATGGGCCACTGGCTGGGCCTCCTGCTCTCTGAGTCAGGTTCTAGGACAGACCCCGAGGAGTTCACCTACGACTACGTGGACGCCAATAGGGTTTCCTGTATTGTGAGTGCGGCAAAAAACTCTCTCTTGTGAGTATTAAGGGGCCTCCGAGGGCAGAGCTGCCACCTTTCCTGTCAATTTGGTTCTTCCCATGTTCCCTCAGCGGGTCCCCAGCACACCTGGAATAAGCAGGGCAGTGGTGGGACTTCTGGTTTCCAGAGTAGTGAACTGGAGCTCAGGAGGAGTGTTTGGTGCAGCCAGTACTGGAGAGAGCCAAGAAGAAGAGGTAAAGTCCTAGAAGGGAGGAGTCGGGAGAAGAAGGCAAAATGAGCCTAAGAGGAAGGTGATGAGCCTAAGGCAGTTTGTTTTTCTGGGAGAAAAATCTGGAACCAAGAATTCTAGGAAGGCACTGGGAAATGGAGGAGTTGGCCCATATGTGCGGTGGGTCAATGTCAGTCCTCAGATCTCCTGTGCAGCCAGTGTTTCTGTGACACTACTTGTCATCATGAGGCCCCTGAGGTTGGTGCTTTGGCCACACATGCTTCAACGTGCCGTGTCTTGCTGTGTCTTCCAGACTGATGCAGAGAAAGTTCTCAGAGCCCAACACTTACATTGATGGCCTGCCCGGCCAAGCCCGCCAGGAGGAGCTGTATGACGATGTGGAGCTGTCAGAGCTGACAGCAGTGGTAAGGACCCAGCCAGGGGGTGGTCTGACACTGTCCCGTCCTCTTCCCACCAAACATCAATGCCTGGATGCCAGAGATCATTGGACTGCCCCTTAAAGAGTGGGTTCTGAGTCACCTACAGGACCATCAATGCAGACAGCCAGGTACAATAGAGTTGTCTTTTATATGTGAGGCTGTGCAGTTTTGTCTGGCTTGGGGACTTATCTAACACATTAACTGCAGTGTGAGTTGTATTTAACTCACACCAGTTTTGAGCCTGTGGCATCACAAAGCACATAGAGCTGGTGGATAGGTGGGGAGGTCCTCTGCTCATTGTTCTTGCTGTGGACCAGCACATCTCCCCCACCTCCTGTCAATCTGCTACAGACCCCCAGCCCGAGTGTGCCACATGTGCTGGACTGGACTTTGTTCTCCAATTACCATGACTTCCAACTGTGCATTCTACCTAGACTGTTTGCCTGCCTGCTCTTTGAGTGAAATCAATACAATAGCATGTGGTGATGTGACATTGTTGCACCAACTTAGGGGGTATGATTCAGAGGGCATCATCTAGGACCATCCAGAGTCTGCTCCAGACACAACTAAGTACTTAGTGACAAAAGACTCAATTCTCAGAAACAAATTCAGCAAGTATGTTGAGTCAAATACAATTCACCTGGTGTGCAGTGTTAACACTGATTCTACGGCCATGTGAATTGCATATAATTCACACAAAAAAAAACAATAAAAAAAATTTCATTACATTAGAAAGGATTAGAAGTGCATTAATGTTCATAGTTACCATTCAATAATAAAAAAAAGATTAGAAAGGATTAGTTTTTGAATTTTTTATTCAATTTTTATAATAAAACATCATGTCCCCAAGGAAAAAACAATTTTTTTCCAGGGTGGCAGTGTGCTAGATAAAACAGCAGGTTAATTGCCCTGGTCCGTGCCAGGTGTGGGGGGTGTGGTATTGGCACTGGGAACAGTGACACCATTAGCTTTCAGGTCCAAACTGATAGTGGAGGTAGAACGATGGTCCTGTGGCAGTTGCCAGGTGCCAGAATTGAGCTCTGCTGAGCTAAGGCCTTCATGTATATCATCTTCTTCAAGTCTAACCACCCTGCAGGGAGGTGCTGCTATTTTCCTCTTTACAGATCAAGAAATAAGGTTCAGAGAACTTAAAAGTATTGTGTCCAAGGTTCTCCTACCCACCTCTTGAGTGGCATTTCAAGGACCCAATGCCTGGCTCCCTGGGGAAGGAGGGAGGTCTCTGGGGACTCCTACATGGGGTGGGGCTAGGAGCTCTGTGGCACTGCTGGTGCCCCCTGCACAGCCAAGGGATTGGCAGTAGCGATACATGCCACCCGACTCTCTCCTTCAGGTAGAGCCTGCCGAGGAAGCCACCCCTGCCACAGACGGCCCAAGTGAGAGTGAACCTGACCGAGTGTACCTGGACCTCACACCCATCAAGTCATTTCTGCACAGCCCCAGCGGTGTGCAGACCCAGACCTCCTCCCCACCGGTGGTGGCCTACCTGGACAGTATGGCCGAGGCCCTCCCTACAGATCCAGGCCCTGGCCCCACCCCTGCTGAGCCCTGTGTAAAGTCTTCAGAGATCCCAGAGGAGCAGGTACAGGCTGTCCCCCAGCAGATGGACTTGACCCCTGTATAGCGTCCCTCTGGCTGGCTGACTTGTTTGTTTTCTCCCAAAGCAGAGGCAGCTGGAGAGCCCAGAGCCTGAGGAGCCTTCCCCAAGAAACACCACCGTCAAAATCAACACTGAACAGCAGAAAATCTCCTTCCCACTTAGCTGCCCTGACACTGTGGTGGCTACCCCAGCTGGCAGCAGCCCACCTGTGAAGGACAGGTTGAGGGCACCCACTGCAGGTGCTTGTGCTAGCTAAGAGCTGACCATTGTAGGCTTGGTTTGGAGAAGTATGCCTGATAACTTTCTTTTCAGATGAGGAAACAGAGGGTCAGAGAGGTAGAGGGGCTTCCCCAAGGTCACACAGCAAAGAAAGCATAGGCCCAGTTTCCTTTCTCATCCCTGCTAGGCTGACCTGGCATCCAGCTTTGGTTGTATGTTCTGTCTGGGCCTGGGAGTGGGTCCAGCATGGTTGACGTGGGGCTTCCCCTATCTGGATCTGTAGAGATCAAACTTGGCAAGAATCGAACAGAAGCTGAGGTGAGGCGGTACACAGAGGAGAAAGAGAGACTGGAGAAGAAGAAGGAAGAAATCCGGGGGCACCTGGCTCAGCTCCGGAAGGAGAAACGAGAGCTAAAAGAGACCCTGCTAAAATGTACTGGTAAGAGGTCTCCCTGTGGGGAGGCAGACGAGGGCCCTTAGCTCAGGGGCACGTGGGGGCTCAGGATTCCTGGGGGGAAGACTCTGGATCTGCCACCTGCTTCCCTGACCTGTCAGCCTTAGCCCCTCAACCCCTGGTCTAGATGGGTGCTCCCTGCATGTCCTCTCTTTCCCCCATCTTGTCAGAAAGGTCACTGTCCTGCACACTGTCCAGATGTCAGTAGGACCAGCAAGTCACTGAGAAGGCCAGTTAGAGGAAGAAATCTTTACAAATTATGCTTAGGCCTTATGTGTTTTATTTTCACTTAAACGCATGTCCCTTGGCCCATCTTGTGATGCAGTGCCGCCCCCTGGGACTTACAGGTGTTTTGAGCTACGGGCCTGCTAACTGCAGTCCTAGGACAACCTTCTTGCATCAGCTATACCTGTTAGCATTGCTAGGCTTCATTTCTTTAAAGTGAACAAAAACTTAATGTACTTGCCAAGAAATCTGAGTCCCCCTAGATCAGCAGTCCCCAACTGTTTGGGCACCAGGAACTGGTTTCATGGAAGATAATTTTTCCACTGACTGGGGGTGGGAAATGGTTTCAGAAAGATCAAGCACATTACAGCGCCACCTCAGATCATCAGACATTAAATCCTCATACAGAGTGCGCCACCTAGAGCCCTTGTGTGCAGAGTTTACAGGAGGGTTTGCTCTGCAGTAACCATCTAACACTGCACCTGATCTGATGAGTGCGGCTCAGGTAGTGATGGGGAGCGGCTGTAAATAGACGAAGCTTCACTCACTCCAAGGCCTGCCACGCACCTCCTGCTGTGCAGCCCAGGTCCTCACAGGCCACATACTGGTACTGGTTTGATCCACAGTCCAGGGGTTGGGGAGCACAGTTCTAGATGATCACTTTCTCATAGTTTGACAGTGTTTCCTAGCAACTTCCTCTTATAGAGCCTTTGTGAAACATTTGGCTAAATTTCCACAGAATAATTTCGTGGTCACTTAATCCTTAAATTGTGGAGTTGCGTGAAGAGTGCAAATAACAGAACAGGTTTGGGGACAAATGCAGCTGTTTGGTGAAGGAAGGTCTTGAAAGCAGAGTCGCCCACTGTTTGTTTGTTTTTTTTTTTTTACTAACAGTTTTATTGAAACATAATCCACGTATCAGGCAATTGCCCCATTTAAAGTGTAAAGACCAGTAGAACAGTAGTTCTTAGTATAGTCACAGTTACACAGCCGTCACCACAATCAGACAGCCCCAAAGAAACCTCATTATCCATTAGCATCACTTCTCTTTTCCTCCCAGCCTTTCTTTCCTTTTTTTTTTTATAGTTTTTGGCCGGGGCTGGGTTTGAACCTGCCACCTCTGGTTTATGGGGCCAGTACCTTACTCCTTTGAGCCACAGGTGCCGTCCCCAACCTTGCTTTCTGTCTCTGCATGCTGAGGGTTCGACAGCTGGGATATTCGCAATGCACAGAGGGTCAGAGACAGTGGCAGGGCTCCCTTTCCACCCAGCAAGACTGGAGGGTGGGACATGAGCACATGAATGGGACCTGAGGCTCCTCCATGATAGTTCTTGAAAACCCTGGGAAAGTGCGAAGCCGGGTCTGGGAGGAAGAATAAAGAGATTCCTGACTCTCTCTCCTATGTGGATATTCTAGGTTGGAGAAGAGAAAGAATTTTCCACTATAGTTTATTCTCCTGGCAAATTAAGCTCTGGAGATGCTGTGGGTTACAAAGTCACTGATGAGAAAATAACCCTCAAAGTAACTTTAATCCCCCAAACACTTTTCTTAACTTTCTTTTTCTATATGAATTTTTCTTCTTAAGCAATGACCTTTAGTGGCATCTCTGAATAATTCTTACACAGTTGTTCCTGTTACTGCTTGTCCTCTGACGAGAGCTGACAAATGATTAGTTTTCTTGGTGGTTGCTGGTTTGTGCTCAGGGCTCTACATGGACGTGAGCCCCTGGACTCCCATAGGTCATCTTTTTTGGCGCCCAAGAACTCCAGAGTTACGAGGAGAAACACGGGGCAGGGCTGAGGAGGTGCAAGAGCTGAGGACCCCCCTCTGCTGGGCCTGGGAAAATACCACGTGGGAGGATTGTGGGAGCTAATAGCCCAGGCCTCCCTCATCCTTTTGGGTCATTACACCTGTTGGCAGATGTCAAAACAATGAAGAGCCTCTGAGAACCCACCAGAAGGAACCAAGGTCTCAGACTCAGGCCTTCTCTCAAGTGCAGAGCCCACTCCAGGCAGAGAGAGTCTTACCAACACAGGGTTTGGGCTTCAATTCCAGCTCAGAGTGCTGGGGCCGGACTTGTAGTCCACATCTCCCTGAAGTCCGTCTCGGGTGGGCAGGGTGTGTGGAAACCCTGTCTCCACCCAGCAGTGTCTCTGGCCATGCCTGAAATGTTATTCTGATTGGGTTAACTCTCTTCAGACAAGGGAGCTGTGGCCAGCCTGGAGCAGAAGCTGAGGGAAATCGATGAGGAGTGCCGGGTGGAGGAGAGCAGGCGTGTGGACCTTGAGCTCAACATCGTGGAGGTGAAGGACAACCTGAAGAAGGCTGAGGCGGGGCCCGTGACGCTGGGCACCACGGTGGACACCACCCACCTGGAGAACGTGAGCCCCCGCGTGAGTTCTGGGTGCTGTGGCCTCTGAACTGCCTGGGGAAGGGGGTCAGGTCTCCAGCCCCTGGACTCAGGGCATGCTCTTCTTTGTGCCACAGCCTAAAGCTGCCACCCCCATGCCCACCCCCGATTGCACCCCAGTCAACTCTGCAACCACACTCAAGAACAGGCCTCTCTCGGTCATGGTCACAGGCAAAGGCACGGTCCTCCAGAAGGCCAAGGTAAGTGGTCACACCCAGCCTTCCTTGGGGCCTGCAGAACTGCCACTAGACGGGGCCCTTCTTCCAGTCTCAGCAGTGCTGTGCAGCTTTTGGTGCCAACTCTGAGTAAGGGCTCAGCAGGAATTGGCTGGCTCCATGGGGCCTTTGGCAGTGACCAACTAGAAAGGACCTTGCACTTTCAGGTTCACTTGAACTTTGTCAGGTTCAAGTGTTCCTACCAATATCCACTGGGGATGGTGGGGTCCTTGACCTGCCTACCACAGTCATCAGTAGATTCCAGGAGGACAGATGCAGCTTGGGAACAGATTGTCACTGAGAAGTTTTCAAATCAATAAGTCAGTATGATTTGAAAGGAGTACCACTGTTAAAACTAAAGAAATAGATTCAGACAGGTGACGTGGTTTGCTCAAGGTCACCCAGTTGGCTAGCGGAGGCACTCTGACTGCATTTCTCCCCAAGGGGTAGATAAAATGTGTTATTAATCCTTTACTCATTTGTACACTCAAGAACAGGCCTAGGGCCACTTTTGGTTTTGGGAACTGTTCTTTATTCCTATCCTGCTTACCTGCTGGAGACTTTGGGAGGTGCTCACATGAAGGGCTAAGTACTGACTGCAGGCAAGCGCCTAAGCCACTACCTGAAAAATCTCTATAAACAGGTGTTCTAAGTAGCAGTGAACACAGGTTTTGAAACATACATTACCTCTATTCTTAATTGCTTCTATGCTTAAAGTATTTTTTATGTATGTAAAGAGTGCTCCAGAGGATGACTAACTGTACTTTTTTGTTGGGGGGGTGGGTGTTGGCATTTGAATGGTACCCTAGGAATGGGAGAAGAAGGGAGCAAGTTAGGAAACAAGCTTTGGCTAAAGACTCTCACGCCAACATGGACCTTGGTGACAATCCTGTTTCATTAAAGCAGCAAGTCTGTGAAAGGGTGAGTCTGTTCAGAAGAAAGAGAACTGAGGTACTATGAATGGAGAGCTCTGGCTAAGAAGAAATTCTGAAATAATACAACAAAAAAAGAAGGCTTCTTTGGGGAATGAAGTCTGTTGGGTGTAAATAAGACATTGTTGTATTATGGCTTTATCAAGGTTTTTAAGGAATGAAAAGCTTGTGACATTTAGATATGGGTGGAAGAGAAATCAAAGTGACAGGGCCCTGTCCTAGGGGTCATGTGGCTTTGATGAGTAGGAAGCTCTAAACTCCTGACCAGCATCTCCTGTCCAATACTTAGCAGTGCTGAGGGTTGAACCGTCCTTGCCTTCAGATTTGTTCTCTCCGATATTGGCAGGTCCACCTCAGTCTTTGGTGATTTTTAAACAGCCTTGTAAAACCACTTATGACATGATTTACAGAAACACCTAAATATTTGGGACCAAGCTAAGGCACGGACCCCACTAAGTTAAGGACTTTTTTTCCCAGTCCAAGGCAGGCCTGAATCAACTGCCTTTAAATTTTAAATGATGCTGTATTATATAAGAAAAAAAGTTTAAAATCCTATTTAGAACAGTGAAAAGTGTCTTTTAACTGACTTTTTACACTAAAAATTACTGTGTTTACAGATGCAATCCTGTGGTCAGGCCATTTTTAAGAGAAGAGTTATTTAACAGAATGCTCTTTTAGGCTCTGATTTTATGTACTGTGTCATGTCCAGTCCCCTTCCAAGAAAAAAGTGGTGAGTTTTGGATAGGGTGGTCTCCTTCTTCTCTTAAAATCGGCAGTGTTGTTCCTTGTGCTGCCCTGTTTTTCCTCTGATGGTATTGTTTTTTAACACAGGTTGAAACATTTCATCTCTGCCTCATTTTGGGGGGTTCTGAATCAGAGTTCTCTAACACTGGTTCCTGAGAACTAAAGGTCTTTTTTATTCTTTTTTTTTTTTTTTTTTTTTTTTTTTTTTTTTTTGAGTCGGAGCCTCAAGCTGTCCCCCTGGGTAGAGTGCTGTGGCATCACGCTCACAGCAACCTCCAACTCCTGGGCTCAAGCGAGTCTCCTGCCTCAGCCTCCCAAGTAGCTGGGACTACAGGCGCCCGCCACAACGCCTGGCCATTTTTTGGTTGCAGCCATCATTGTTGTTTGGCGGGCCCGGGCTGGGGATTCGAACCCACCACCTTAGGTGTATGTGGCTGGCGCCTTAGCTGGGTCTTTTTTATTCTTATTATCTTTCTAATCCCAGGGCATTTATTTCCTTTGTCATAAACACTTGGTGACCAAGTGGTGGTTAGATTTTTTTTTTTTAATAAAATGTTCATTGTATTTGGGTTTTCCTTGTATTTCGTGGAATGACTTGGGACAGGGTCTAGTCAACATGGAGAGATGCCTGGGTTATTTACACACTATTAACTTCAAAATATATACAGTAAAAACTGTAGAACTACAGGCTGTATCCATGCAGGAAACTTTAAGCCCCCTTAAGTACAGTCGATCCTTGAACAACATGAATTTGAACTGTGCAGGTCCACTAATATGCAGATTTCTTCTGCCAACTCTGAGACAGCAAGACCAACCCCTCCTCAGCCTACTCAACACACAGATAATGAAGGCCTTCATGATGACCACTTCTACTTAATGAACAGTAAATATACTTTTTCTTAGTAACATTGTATTTTCTCTAGCTTATTTTGTTATGTAAGAATCTGGTATATACCCAAATATGTGTTAATCAACTGTTTGTTTTCGGGAAGTCTTCCCAGTCAACAGTAGGCTATTAGCAGTTATGTCAAAAGTTAAACAGGGGTCTTTCTACACAGTCAGTGCCTCAACCTCTGTGTTGTTCAAGGGTCAGCTGTATAATTAAAATACATAGGCAGTTGGTGTAGAAACTGGTCATATCTTCATATTCCTAAACAATTACTGGGGGAAAAAACTTACCAATACTTGGAGGGTTGCCTAGGGAAGTTCATAGCGTAAATGTTATTTATTTTAAAAAATAACAAAAGTAAAACCTGGCTTCCTGAAAAGACTAATGCAATAAAAAGGACAACCCAAGGCAATATAAAATACCAGGACTGAAAATAAGGCCTATGTACAGATACAGACAAAGTTTTTAAACAAGAAGATACTGTGAATATAGCAGCATAAAAGCTCCATCATGGAGTTATCATAGCTCTGATACCAAAAATTTAAAACATATTTCAAGAGAAAAAAACAAATCTCAATTTTGGACACAGATGAAAGAAACTCAGCAGGGTTTATAGAATGATGTATCATGACCAAACAGAGTTTATCCAAAAAATACAAGAATAGTTCAATGATTGAAAATATACAAATGGGTAGTTTATCATACAGACCAAATGCAAAAAAAAAAAACCATCTTGAAGAAAGAGGAAAAAAATACTATACACCTCCACAGTCATAATAAATGCTCTTCATCATCTACGTAACCTGATAAAGTAACCACAGGAAACAACTGTAACGGTGAAAAAGTTCCAATAGTCAAGAGCCAGACCTGAATATCTGCAATTAGCACAACTTTCTGAAACATGGTTCTGGAGGTCCTAGAGCCTACACAATGCAAAATGGCAAGAAAATTAACACTGATACTTCTCTAGAAAGAGAATCAATTAACTCCTAGATCTAGAAAGAGAATCAATTAACTCCTAGATCTAGATTATCCAGCAAGATGGCTAGAATTAGGTCATTAATCTCCATCTGCAATGTTTTAATTTTTGCAAGGAGAATAACTATATATATTACTTGTATAATTAATTAAAGCTAAAAATAAAAAGCTGATTTCTTTGAAATGAAATAGAAAGGCCTGGCTAGTTAGGCCAGAAGATAGGAATTCTGTCAGCACCTACTATAACATTGAAAAAGGCTGAATTATTCAGTAGCACTTTCAATACAAAAGATTAAAAAAAAAAAGTAAGTTCCTTTGATATATAAGTCCACGGTGTTGTTTAAAGTCCTAGTAATTCAAATGCTGCATCCAGACATCAGCCTTGAACAAGACAAAAACCTAAAACGATTCAACTGCTATCAATTTAGAGACAGAAAACAACGTCACGAATCAGCATATGCTAAACGGGTCATGTCATCCCGCCCCCGTGTTGCCTTCTGCAAAAGGACACTGAAATAACAGAAAATTAACCATAAACTAAAATATCCCTTGAACGTAAATGATTGCCACCATGGTACTCGGTACCTCGTCAAGCACTCTTCTAGCACCAGAAATGCTGAAGTTCTTAATGCTAAGTGGCGTTTAGGTCAAAGTAGCCTTGAACTTTTGTATATTAACCATTGTTAAAATATTTATAAGGAAATACCAGGGTAAAATCTCAGGATTTAGATCAGAGCTCTACATAGGTTTTAAACAAACCCAACTCTAAACACCATGACCAAGAGGAGTAATTCATGCTTACATGGTGGGGGTAAGTATCTAGTTTGCCCAAAAATATTCCAAATAAGCCTCTTTGCCACATAGGTATGAACATTTCTGTTAAACAAATAACAATATTTTTCAAAACAGTACTTTAAATACCAGGTGTACCAAAGCAAAGAAAAACAAAACAGCAGAGAGCTAGCCCAGTACTTAAAACACCAAACCTCTATAAATGTTTTTATCCCATCTTTGCTGAGTTTAAGAATTCTACTTCTCTTTGCCCCACTAAAAGGAGTGTAAGGAAAGAATTTAGTAAACACCCTGTAATAGACCCCTCCAAAAGACACCCTTTGAAAAGGAAGACCTCCAAGGAGATGCTGCCTAGTACCCCCTCCAGACCACTCAGTCCCTCTCACAGAGTCAATAAGAAGCTGGCTAATTGATCAGATTCCAGTCTGGGACCCTTCCAGGCCTCTTGATGAAGTCATCAGAAGTTACAAATGACACTCAAGCCCATTTTTCAAACCCAAAGCAAATGCATCCAGGACATCTTTGGCAAAGTGGAAAAGTCCCTCCTTCTTCTATCTTAAAATGCCATCACTTCAGTGGTCCAAATGATGTTCTAGTAAATATCTTCTGCTAAACAATATTCTGTCTAATATTTGTAATAGGTAAAGCAAATCCAAATTCAGGCCATCAGATTTCTCTGGAGACCCTAGGACCCTATGTTTATCCAAGGGAAAATGGCAGATGACATGGCCTCTGCAAGGCACAAGCAGGTACTTGTGTTTTTTACTTACACACCCAGGGTTTTCAACATCATCGTTCGCGGTGCTATAGCTATTCTTACGGTCCCTAAGCAGCCAGCTGCAGTCTTCCTAGTTGGGGCAGGAGCAGGAGAGTCAGGACAGAGCTGCTAGCAGATACTCCATGGATCCCCAGGACAGACGCTCAGCGCCCAGAGTGCCTAGGCCTTCCCCGTAGTTGCTGGGAGGAGGGCGGCTGCTGTTCTCCTGCAGACTCCTGGTGGGAGCCACGTGCCCTGGGAGCATCTCCTCTCAAGACCCCTGGGGAAGGAAGCGAACTCTGAGGGCAGGAGCCTCTGAATCCTGTGGACCCCGTCAGATCCACTCCCAGCCTCAGGAAGCCCATTTTTGCTGGTGGTTGAAAACCTCAAGGTTCTGACCGGAATTGTCTTCTGAGTTCTGGCTGTTCTAACTTTAAACTCATGAACGGGAGCCAGAGGCGGACCCAGAGTGCTGCCCAACAATCATTACTTATATCCTTAACCTGTTCCCCTACCTCCTGGACAGTGACTTCTCATCCTCTCTCTCCAGCCTCCAGCACCTCTTCCCCATCTTCAGTGAGTAAATGGTACCTCAAAAAAGAGCTTCCACCACCCATCTGCCTCCATGCCACACCCTCCATTGTCACCTCTCTTTCCTGAACCCACAGTGTTCCTACCCCAGGCAGCTCACCCCAGCCCCCTGGCAGCCACCAGGATTCTCTGGAGTGTTCAGCACCAGCAGATACAACACTGTCTTCCCACTGGGATGGACGCTCCACAGGGGCAGAGATTTTTATCGTTTTATTTGCTATTTTCCCTGCACCTAGAACCAAGGCTGGGATGTATGAGGTACAAAATGAATCAATGATTGCATGATTCCTTCCACTAATGAATGGCCTAGACCCTACCTGCAGCTGAGTCTCTATGACTTGGTAGGATTTGGGGTAGCACCCCCTGGTCACCGGTCCAGAGCCACAGCCCCACTCACGGTTCTCGCAGTGGGGGCCCTCCCAGCCATCCCGGCATTCGCAGCGGTAGCTCCCATTCTGCAGCACACAGGTGCCCTCGTTCGTGCATGGGCTGGGTTTGCAGAGGTTGACTGGCCGTTTGGCTTCTGCAATGGAGAACATGCCCACCAGGCCCAGCCTGGGTCAGATCCAAGACCCCAACCCTGCATAAACCCAGTACTGGCATAAGGCCACTGGAATAGTGTCACACATCTTAGTGTCTCCCTTGGGCCTAAAGGTTCAATGTAGCAAATGGTTAGGGCTCCACACTACTTGACTAGGTGAGTAACCTCCACTCAGCTTACTTGCACATTCCTGGGGAGCTTTCCCACAGTTGTGCTGTGTGCATGCAGCATTTACCTGTTACTACTGTCATACGAGGTCCGACAATTAACTTCATGAACTTATCCTAGAAAAAGTGGTGGGTATCCTAAAAATGTCTTTCGTGTAAATAGAATGCATAAATGCTCAAGCTTGGGAAGGAATTATCCATGTTAAACTCTCTGTACCTCACATGTCAAATAGGAACAGATATGCCTCCTGCAGGATTTAGCAGAGACCTGGGGGCACAGAGAACAAGTGCTCAGTAGTGAGGAAGAGCTGCTGTCCTCATAGTGAGGTGCTTGAAGGCTCAGACTGAGGTCCTGTCTCAGAGGCCCTGGGGGTGTGGATTCCCACACTCACCACCACATATCCACTCGATGAGCTGGTCCTGGTGGTACTGCAGGTCTGAGTAAGCTGCCACATGGATCAGGGTGTCCCGGGGACCCGCCAGCCTCCGCAGTGCGTCTCTCAGGATGGGCCCCACACCCATGACTAAGACGGAGACACCATTGTCTCTCAGCTTCTGGGCAGGGACAGCTGCGTCCTCCACCCCCCTCCCGCCTGTGAGCATCACCACAGCCTTAGGGACACCAGGCCGGGCACCCCTCTGGACAGTCATCACCTTGTCATAGATGTGCAGCAGAGCCGTGCCAGCCGAGCCCACTCCACCTTGATAGGGGGCTTGGCTCATGGCCTGCAGCACTGCGGTGCGGGTGGGATGAGTCTCCAGCCCGAAGACGGTCTGCACCTGGCTGCCGTACACCACCAGGCCGACCTGCGTGATGTCAGGGTTCACATCAAACTGGAGGGTGCAGCTTCTCATGAAGCTCTGCATGTGAGCGAAGTTCTCAGGCCCCACTGAGGCCGAGGCATCCAGCATGAAGACAAGGTCCAGTGACTGTGCCCGACAGCCTGCAGGAACACACCAAGCAGGCTCTGTTGGCCAGGGGCCCTCATCCGGAGCACCCAGCTGCAGCCCCACCCTCCGTACCTTCATTTAGTCACCCCCTTCATAGAGGATCAGAAAGAATGTGAGTGCCCAGGTAGATTACTTTTCTCAGCCTCCCTGGCAGCTGAGGGGGCCACAGGTCTACGTTCCATCTGACAGAATATGATGGGACATAATTGTGCAATTTCCAAGTTCAAACTTGTGCAAGTGGAAACGACTTGCCTTCCACTTCCCCTCTCCCCCTTCTTGTTGGCTGAGAAATGGTAACCCTGGATCTCAAAGTAGAAGCCACAAGACAGCCAAGCTGGCCTGCTGGCCGAGGCCACTCACCTCTGAGCTACCTGGGAGAGAAACAGACATCTATCCTGTGTAAGGCATTGGGTGTTGGGGCGTCTTTGTGACAGCACCTTCACCTGTACCTTCAGCCATCCACTGAATACAGGGCACTGATTATACTGTGTGGGCAAAACAGGCTGACCCCTGCCCTTAGCAGTAGGGCAGTCCAGAGGAACTGACATGAACACAGAATTACAAATGTGTGAGTGGCGTGGAGGAAAAGCCAGGGACTCTGAGAGACACCAGCAGGGCAAAATAAAACTGGGAGGAGGGGTCGGGGCTTCTCCAGGAAGGGGACATTTCAGCTAAGAAGTGCAGGCCAGTAATGTGGGCAGTAGGACAGGCTGCTTCTCAGCCAGGGCCAGACCACAGGGAGCTCTCAGATGCCAGTGGAAGGGATTTGGGTTTTACTCCAAGTGCAAAGGGAGCCACTGGCAAGGTCTGAGTATGGAGTTAGAGGTTCTGCCGCTCTGATTTATTGGTTTTTAAAAACCACTGCACGAGGGAAGTCTTAGATACTGTCACAACTACGAGCGCCTAAGGAAACAGGCTGACTGAACCTACTGTGGGATCTTGGCTGGGATTCTGGGACAGAGAAAGGATAGCAGGTAAAAACTATGGGCATATGAATAAAGCGTTGTCTTCAGTAAGTAACAATGCATCAATACTGCTTCCCTGACTGTAACAACAAGCCATAGTGATGCAAGGTGTTACTAACCAGGTGTGGGCTACAGGGAACTCTACTATTGTCACTTTTGCTTCTGTGACTCTATAAACAAAATAGAACAAAAGCACTCTGGCTGCCATGGGAGACCGGCCTAGAGGGGGAACCCCACAGGAGGGAAGGCCCTTTGCCCTGGCCAGAGTGGCCTTGGCATCGGGCTAAGAAACTGAATCCCACATACAGCTCCCTACACCCACCTCCCTACGAAAGAACTTGGGGTCTCATCGAGGATATGGCTTAGCTACCACACCTCTGACCACATGCCAGCTCCTTCCCACCACCTGGCAGTGTCCAATCCCAGGGACAGTGTTCCCTAGAGCATCCTCCAACAGCAGGTCACAGAATAAACCCCACGGCTTGTGAAACCGAATAGAACAATGTCGGAATGCATACCAGACAGGATAAGTGTCATCTTGTGAAACGTCTGCTTCATTGTGGGTGCACGTATGTGTTCATGCACACGCACGTGTGTACTGGGGATGTATTTCCTTCCATGGGTGGCCAAAGAAGCTGGAAAGCCACTCCCTTAGAATGCGCTTAGTAGATTCAGAGCACCGTGTGAATAATAGTAAATCACAAAAATTAAGATAACGAACAGCAACCTACAACTGGCTGAGGGCTACTCTGCACTGTGTGTCTGTTTCTTATCTTACTTAATCCTCACTAGAGCCTCTCAGGAGGTGATACTCTCATCCCATTATATTGGCCAGTAAACTAAGAAGCCGTCCATGCAAGAGCAGGGCTGTGGGTCAGGCCCTAGCACAAGTGTGGGGAGAGAGCAGTGGTTAAGTGGGATCCAAAGGAGGGAAGGACCTGCCCACTGGCCAGCAGCACTGGGTGGGTTGCTGGGAACTTACCTGGCTGTGTCCGGCTGCACAGTCTCCCCTGTAGCTCGGGGATCTGGCTGAACAGGTCCTGAGGGTCTGTGTAGACTATCACGTGCTCTGGGCTGCCTGTGATCTCCTCCAGCTCTACCCTTGCGGCCTCACTGCCCACGCCCAACAGGAACAGCTCTCGGGCCCTGGCGTGTTGGGCCGGGCCAGCCACCTCATCCTGGGAGCGCGACTCGGTGAGCAGTACGACCACTCTGCGTGGCCGGTGCTGGCCTGTCCTGACAGCACTCCCAAAGCCGCGCTCTGCCACCTGCCTCAAGGCGCTGCCTGTCAGGGTTGGGCCACCGCTGAAGGGAATGCTGTCGAGGCTCTGGACCAGGTCTGGCACATCCTGGTACTCCCCCACAGGCACTGCCACCAGCAGCTCCTTGCTGTACACGGCCACACCCACTCGGGCCCAAGAGTCCTCGCTCAGCGCGGCCTGTACAAACCGCTTCACGAAGGCCTTGGCCCGCAGGAAGCCCTCCAGGGTGGTGCCCGCAGAGCTGTCCAACAGGAAGAGGACGTCGATTCTGCACTCCAGGCTCAGCTTCAGGCCTGCCAGAATCAGTGTAACACCACTGTCACACTGCGGCCACTGGAGCATCAGTCCCCAAGATGCCCAAACACACACAGGGCAGAAGAAACTCCCTCCCAGGAGAGAGAGGACAGGGAAACTGGGGCCCTGGGGGCTTAAGCGACCAATAATCATCACAGAGATAGAGATGACACCAGACATGGGATGGCCCCTCCAGGGTCTCCATTTAAGTGCGCTTGAAAAAGAAAAATATCGTCTATTTTGTAACTTTTTTCTCATCCTGGTTAATTGTTTTTGTGTCCTGAGAAGTCTTCATCTATCTTAAGATCAGGGAGCTACGGTCTTATAGTTTCTTCTAAAAGCCTTTTACATTTACATCTACAATCCTACTCGGACTGATTTTGGATAGTTATGAGGTATAGCATCAAGATTCTTTCTTTCTCACTTTTAAAACCAAAAGAGGTTGAGGCCCTTTGCTCCTCTTTTATAGAGGAGAGAAGAAAAAATTCTGCCCACATGCAGGACCCAGAGTTGAGCTGGCTCTTCACTGAGGATTGGTGGTGCTCAGAGAACAAGCAGTAGCCATTCTCCAAAGCCGCAGCCACTGTCCTCCCTGGAGCTGTACCACCTGAATACTGGTGCCTGGAGCACTCAGAGGTGATAGTGCACAAAGAGGGCAGACCGTGGTGCATCTGGAAGGCAGATGGCTCTCAAACTCACTGACCAGTTTCTTCCCAGCAGCAAGAAGGGGGAGTCCATCCCCAATCTGTCCAGTGGTCACATCTGTCTTTAGGAGACCCACATATACATACCACAGTTAGCCTCCCCTCTGAAGGCCAGTGGGCACAGGCAGTGGTAACTGTCCAGTCCTTCCGGGATGCATGTGCCTCCATTCTGGCAGGGCTGGGAATCACAGGGGCCTGTCAGAGAGATTCCCATTAAAAGACACACAGCAGCACAGAGTGGCAAGGAGGGCAGGCTGGAGATCCGAGTCCCACAGGCCACCCTGTCCCAGCAGGAACCAACTCTTCCTTTCCACACGGTCTACTCAGAACCCTGCAGCAGACATGGGAAAGAACTAACAAGTTCATAAAGGAGGGGCTGAGCACGGTGGGTGAAGGACACTCAGTGTGTGAAATACCGGCTCACTCAGGGACATGCCAACAGGACCTGGCCTTGGCTCTGACAGCGAAAACACCAGCCTTAATTACTCACAGCTGCCTAGAACATTAAATGGTGTTGGACTTGAGATTGCCAAGGATGAAGGTCTCGGGGATGCTGCGCTGGTAACGGTGCCTTTTTACATTCCACATGTGGATCGTCTAACAGCCTCTGTGCCCTACACAGCAAAGCCTGAGCCTTTGGCGCCTGTGATCAGGCTGCTCAGCAATGAACATGACCTCCCATACTTCCTCGGGCACCTTAATTAACTTCTCCAAGCCTCATATCCTCATCTAAAAAGGCAAGATGTTAACTGAACTTGTCCCTCGGTGTTACTATGTAGATTAAATGAATTAGTCCACAGAGAGACTCCGCACAAAGCCAACACTATACCAGGCAGTAATAGTGTTTACTTTTGGATATGAGGTGCAAATTCTGAACCATGCCTCTTTGAGCTGAAATTTTACACAGGAAACTACACCCTATGTCAAAATCGGGCCCATTTAGAAGTGTCTGATCTCTGATATCCTGTGGTTATTACCTAAGCTCCCTGTCAATGTCCTCACCAATTATTACAAAATGCTCATAAAAGCACATGACCTTCCTCCCAGGGTTACAGAGAACAAACAGCATCTTCATGAGTTCACACATTCCAAGGACCCGGTGAGCACCCAAGCGTGGTTACTTTTCAGGTTGGAGGTATCTGTCCTTTTTGCTTAAAAATATAAATATATGACTTGGTGGTCACATAACTGTAATTACATAAACTTTTCAAAGGTAGAAATGATTGAGGCTAACTCTCAGTGCCTTGCTGGGCCTGCTGCTGTGTCAGCCAGGACACCATGGAAATACCTGGGGGCTCACTAACAGCAGCAGCAGTAGCAGTAGCGGCCTTTAGCTGAGCACCTACTGTGCGCCTGGGCCCATGCCAGCCACATATATGCATGCCCTCCTTTCACTGTCACAATAAGCCTACAAGGAAGGGACTAAACCCCCCACTTCACAGGTGAGAAAGCCAAAGATCAAACAACATCATGTGCTGAAGGTCAGATAACTGGGGAAGCACAGAGCTGGGACTCAAACCTAGGCCACTAAACTGTAAGTCCTCAAACTCTAACTTCTGAGCAGAATCAGCCCCACTGCCAGGCTTTCAGAGCCCAGTGGTGCTGGAAATTTAAAACCTTGAAAGGACACAGAAAGGAGTCACCTGAACCCAGGCAGGTGGCAGGCTCCTTACCTCCTCAGGGTAGCAATCTACACAAGGACTGACATCTACATGCTGGAGTGTAACTTCTATCCCCTGTGTCAGTGGAGGCACTGGCTCCAGGTAAGGGACAGTGAGGGCACACTGGGGACTGCGCTCAATGATGCATGATGGTATTAGGAAGTCCTCAGGTTTGGGATTTTATAGCAGAGGGATATTTCTGTGGGCATGATCTACTGAATCTCCACTAGGATTCCACGTGGGATACACCCTCTATCATACAGACATTGGGCAAACATCACCCCATTGTACAGAGGAGGAAACCATCCCGGTATCTTGCCCTATGTTTAGTGCTGGATTTGAGACTGTCTGCAAAGCTGGTGCTCAGAGCACGTCCTTCTCTGCCTCTCTCTGCAAGGAGCATAGGTTAAGGGGCATCATTCCCAAGCTGTCACTCCATTAGTGAGAAAACACCATAGAGCAAGGAGGACCGCGTACGGCATGAGCACGTCCTCTGCGTCCTGAATGCCCCGTCCTTCTGCCCTGGAGCCAGCAAACCACTCCCTCTGCCCCAGAATTATAAATGTCCCATTACAAACCAGCCTAGGCCCAGGGCAAGCTGGTGACTCCTGTGGGCAGACTGTACCTGGGCAGGTGGTCCTGTAGCAGGTGGCAGGTTGGGTTAGGAACACTCTCTTCCAGCTACAACCCAAGGAAAAAGAGGGTAGAGAGAGAATAGTTTTAGGGTAGAAACTGAACAATTATTTCTAAAACTAAAAAGTGAGATAAGATTCTGGTGCACAAGTGGGCTGAGAAAGACTGGCTTATTTTCTTCCTTGATTTTACTTTTTCCTGTATACAGAGTAAGGAATGCTTCAAACTATCCAGATGACTAAAAAAAAAGATAATGTAAGTTATCTATTATGTTAGAAGTTATAGACATCTGTGTGCAACATTCCAAACTATGGAAACAGCATTTTATTACTAAGGTACTAATTAAAGCCCCCATACAGTGGGGAGAAAAATGCTGGCTGTGTGATCCCAGGCATGTCTGTCTCTGGTCTTAAGTTCCTTCTTCTATATAGTAACTCTATATGCAGTTTCAACTGCAGTCCTTGGAGCTTCAGTGGGGAAAGAAGAGGACTGAGAGGCCTAGGTGCCAGCACCCCAGCCCCAGCCCTTCATCAACGATGGTGCTTCTATCTGGTCTGCCCAAGTGTCTACATGAGGCTGCACAGCTTAGGAAGATGTGCAAACCACCAGACCTGATGACTTTCCAGGTCCAGCTGAGCACTCATATTCTGTAATAACACAACCACCACCGTTCCCAGGGTCACTCTCACCTTCGAGGTGTCCCCATTGTTCCCTTGAACCCACAGCTACCCAAAAATATGGTTCTCTCCATCTCCCAGATGGGAAGTCACACAGTTACTGGAACGCAGCAGAGATGGGATCCAAACTCTGACCACCTGACACTGAAGCCTGCGCATTTTGCCCTCTGGGCCTCACCTCCCACCTCTCCCGAGTCTCTGGAGGGGTTGCTCATCTAGGACACAGAAAGCCCCCCTCTTGGTTGGAAGCAGCTTCTGGTATAGCCTCACTTAAGGAGACTCTTGGGGCTTGGCAAAAAAGTCCTCTTAAGTTCTCCAAAGAGGGCTTTTTCTAATAAGACCCCACCCCAGAGGCAGGCTCACCTCTGGGGCTGGGTTTTTCCTGGTGTGAAATGGGATAAAAGCCAAGTTAATTAAGAACTTAAGCAATTGCTGAAATAAAAAGTTGGCCTTGCTGCCAGCTCATTAAAGGGAAATCTACCTTTCCATGGCCACTTCTAGTGACCTCATAGAGCCACAAATCTGGTCCAGGGAGCTCCATGCCCCCTCCTGCCTCCCCGCACACCTGCCCTGGGAATCAGGGCTGATGGAGCAGACACCATGGGCAGGGGCTTTGCTGGGATCTGCTTCCACCTCCCTGGGGCCTAGACCCAAATGCCACATTCCCTGCAGGCCTCTCCCGTCACTCTATTCCAAATTGCCATCCTGCCCCCGCCCCCATTCTCACTCATTTTCCTCCATGGCACTTATCACTTAAAGAGCTTTTTCATTGTATTCATTGTGTTTATGGCTGCCTTCCCCACTGGATGTCAGCTCACAAGGACAGATCTCTGAGATGCTGAGTCCCCAGGACTGGGGAGAGGACAGGGAGCACAGGATCCTCAGTGGCATTTCCTGAGGCAGGGAACTGATGAAGACCTTCCTGGATGCTCCCTGGGTGCACCTGCCTATTCACTCATCATGGGCTCCCAACAGCCCTGCAGGGCTGGTACTATTATCATGCCCCTTTTCAAATGTAGAAACAGGCAGTGGGAAGTTCACAGTTCACCAGTGGTAATGGCCAAGATTAAAAATTCATCAGCCTGACTCAGAGTTAAGATCCAGAAGTGTTTCCCCCACCCCCATCCACCAGGGTCCTCTGCCCATCAGCTGGAGTCTCTTCCAGCAGAACCTTCACCATGAAGCCCAGAGAGGATGGCTCTGCCCTAGCACCAGGATGCCTCTTGGTAGCCACTGGTCTCCTCACTGCCCCCCTCTGGACCACCAGCAACTGTGCTGCTGTCTCCTCACTGCCCACTGCCTGGCTCAGAGTGGGCACTTAGGACCTGGTCACTGAGGAGCAAATACACTTCTTTTCACTTGAAACCTCAGTTCTGAAGAAAGCCTCTATGGCCCAGACATGGCACAAGGCCCCATTTCTTCTGACCCTAGTGGAGGTGTAGCCTTTCCCAGCCAACATGGCCTTTGGATTCTCTGTACTCCTGAAGCTTCTTGGCCAAGCCATTCATTTCATCACAGTGGACTGTGCTCTGAGCTCATTGCTGGGTGCAGTACCAAGGGGCAAAAATGCACCTGGCTCAGACACTCCCCTAGCCCTCTAGAAGGTGAGGGCAGGATCACGAGCCTGGACAGAAGGTGCTGTGAGGCAGATCGTGTAGACAAAGTGCCACAGGACAGTGTGGCAACATTTGCTAGGGAAGGGCTGAGTGGCCAGGTGGCAGACACTCTCCTGAGCTGCAATTTCAAAGAACTCAGCGTCTTCCACTGCCTCTGAGCCTGGAATTCCCTGACAGATCTCAGTCCTTCAGCCTCCCTCAGCCTCACAGTGTGGGAAGTGGTGCTCAGACAAACCAGTTTCCCAAACCACTATCACGAGTCCAGACCACTGCTCTGTAGGGCCAGCTATGGGCTTCCAGACAGCCATGACCCGACCACCTTCAATTGTCCTGGGTGCTGGGGCTGTGTCAGGGAGACTCTGCCTTGTCTCTCAAGAGCTGTGTCCCTGGCTCTCTTCCAGGTCTCCTCCCATCCCTGTCACAATCCCCACGACCACAAACCCAATGTGCTGTTCTCTCTGTGACTCTCAAGTACTTGGCACTGCAGGCCTCCATGCCCACCCGGGCTGAGCCCAGACCTTGCAGACGAACCTGTAGAAGGGACAGAGGGTGGCTAGCACAGTCCTGGTCTGCCGAGACCCTCTCCAGCACAGGACGTTGCCGCTGAGCTCCCGGACGGTCTCCAGCGTCTTGTGCTCACAGGGGTATGCCCCGACTTGGCAGTCTGTGTCCACAACACATGCCAATGGAGAAGACAAGCTTGTCCCTCCTTCCTCCACCCACACTCCCCAAGCAGATGGCCCTGCTCCTGGAGGTTCCACCCTACCCCCTGCTCTGGGGCACCTGCCATCTCTCTCAGGGCAGAGTACCCAGAGGGTCCCCACTATGCCTGTTCAGAAGAGCAGTCAGTCCCTGACATCTCCCTGCACAGGCCATGCCCTGCACAGCTTTACATAATGAGGGCACATGTACACTCTACATGACGTATGTCACTCGAGCTCCCCAGTGGACCCTGACAAGGACAACTAGAACACAGGGATCTTCCTCCAAGCCTGAAGCCTCCCTGTGCCCCCCGGTGCTCAGTGAGGCAGGGGAAGCAGACTTTATACTTTCTCTTGAGAGAGGACAGGGGCCCCACCAGATTGTCCTAAGCCCTGGGCCCTGTTTCTCTTGCCCTCCCTCTCTCCCTGGGGAGGCCTGGGTCCTGACTTCTTGCCTCAGGGAACTCCCACCAGTTCTCCTCTCCCTTGCAGACTACACCATCTTACCAGGAGAGGCAGTAGTGCAGATGGCAGAGTGGCTGAGGGTGCTGAAGAGGCCGTTGGTGGCATCCTCCACCTGCTCAGCCAACAGCACGTGCTGCTCCCTCGGCTCGCTGGCCAGCATGTGAAGCTCTTCCCACCTGAGCCAGGAAGATATGACAAGTTGAGGCCCTGTGCTGCCCTCCTCCCGGCCACTCATCTCCTAGGTTGGGGCTCCCCGTGGACAGCAGCACCACCCCACTGACCCAGAGGCCACTTAGCAACAATCTCATCCACCTAGGATGCAGGTGATAACTGAGAAGTGAATGACAGAAAGTCCCCAAGGCAGGCCTGCCATGGGGCACAATGTGTGCATGTTCAAATTCATGACCTTCCTCACTCTCAGAACCATCAGCTCTCATCTGAGATGCATCCCTAGCAGATTTAGTCATCTGGTATTGGCAGACCCATAGCTGATGAGAAGGACAATTAACCAGAAAGGATATGAAAGAAAGTGGTGCTAGGTTTTAGCAAGCAGATTGTCAGTGAGGACAGCTAGTAATAGAAAAAGGGATGAAAGAATTATAAACAAATGGAGGTAAGAACTCCCAAGACTAGCAACAAGGCTGACCAGAGGAGGCGCCAGCCCACTTGTATTGGAGAGGGCAGTACTGTTAGTGCCCAGGAGAAAAATAACGTCTAGATGATGACACCAGGGTGAAATGACGTTTAAAACCCCCTTCATGGGCTAGGCGCCGTGGCTCACCCTGTAATCTTAGCACTTTGGGAGGCCAAAGCAGGCGGATTGCCTGAGCTCACAGGTTCCAGACCAGCCTGAGTCAGAGCGAGACCCTGTCTCTAAAAATAGCTGGGCATTATGGTGAGTGCCTGTAGACTCAGTTACTTGGGAGGCTGAGGCAAGAAAATTGCTTGAGCTCAAGAGTTTGAGGCTGCTATGATGCCAAGACATTCTACTGAGGGTGGACAAAGTGAGACTCTGTTTCAAAAAAAAAAACAAAACCAAAACCAAAAAACCCTTTACAACCCAGAGCAGTGGCTCACATCTGTAATCTTAGCACTCTGGGAGGATGAGGGGGTGGATCTTTGAGCTCATGAGTTCTAGACCAGCCTAAGCAAGAGTGAGACCCTGTCTCTACTAAAAATGAAAAATTGAGGCAAGAAGTTTGCTTAAACCCAAGAGTTTGAGGTTGCTGTGAGCTATGAGGCCATGGCACTCTACCAAGGGCAACAAAGTGAGACTCTGTCTCAAAAATAAATAAAAATAAAAACCAAAACCCCTTTACAAGACAACAGGACAGTCAGTAATGCATCTGGAAGAATCTTTTGCCATTGAAAAGTCATCAGAGCAGACCAATGTTTGGCAATAAGGCAAAATGATCTCTAAAACTCACTTATGAAAACCCTCCCACACTCCTCCCCAACCTAGGACAGAAGGCCCTCCCTCCCTGCGAGCATATGCGCAGAGAGGGGCCCCCGATCAGTCTACAGCAGTGGTTCTCAACCTAATGCTGCAACCCTTTAATACAGTTCCTGGGGGTCACGACCCACAGGTTGAGAACTGCTGGTCTACAGGCTTGGACAGGTGGCGTTGCAGGCTGCTCTCTGCCCTCCTGGCCCCACCAAAGGTGATTCAGATGCTGAGTTCGAGCTGAGAACCGTCAGAGAAGGGACTCAATAAGTACTAAAAGGGGAAACACACAGAAGCAGCATCAGCTTTTTGTTTCTTCTTGTGCGGTTTCACCCTGCCCTCAAGTTTTGGCTAACGCCCACCTGTCATGGAGGGTCCGAGGAACCCCAGAGGAATTACAGACGTAGTGGCCCTGCCTGGGGTTCACTGGGGTGGGGCCCCAGAGTGTGCACTTCTAACTCATCTCCAGGGTCCAGGGAGCACATGCTGAGAAGCACTGCTGCCACTGACCTGGCCTGTCCCTGCGAGTGGGGAGGGAGGGACTGGGTGGGCTCGGGGTCCTCAGGTACTCCTGTGCCTCCAGCTCAGGCCAGCTCCCCTCCTGACCAACAGCAGCCAGATTGCTCTAGGCCAGGGGCGCTCACAGTGCCAGCTCTGGACTGGGCAGGGCCCCAAAACACCCAGCGTGGCCCAGAGCTGGAAAAGTGCAGACTCAGAGAGAAAGAGCGCAGAAGCTAACTGCAGAGCCGCAACAGTCCCTGGGAGTCTGCTGAATCCAATAATGAACATTTGAGCTAACATTGTGGATTTTTAAATTTCATTTTTCTACTAGTTCATCTTTATCATATTTTTCTTTTTACCAGGTTTTTTTTTTTTTTTTTTTTTTTGGACAGGGCTGGGTTTGAACCCACCACCTCTGGCATATGAGGCTGGCATCCCACTCCTTTCAGTCACAGTTGCTGTCCTATTGTATTTTTCTTTTTTTTGTTTTTTTTTGAGACAGAGCCTCAAGCTGTCACCCTGGGTAGAGTGCTATGGCATCACAGCTCATAGCAACCTCCAACTCCTGGGCTCAAGCAAGTCTCCTGCCTCCGCCTCCCAAGTAGCTGGGACCACAGGTGCCCGCCACAACGCCCAGCTATTTTTTTGGTTGCAGCTGTCATTGTTGTTCAGCAGACCCAGGCTGGATTCGAACCCACCACCTTAGGTGTATGTGGCTGGCACCTTAGCCACTTGAGCCACAGGCGCCGAGCCCCTATCGTACTTTTCAAACATATCAGACCATAGTGGGTTGGGGGGGAAACCCCAACTGGTCCTGATAGTTTGAGGCACCATTCCAGCCACCAGAGCAGACAGTACCAGGAGACACATCTTTCCACTGTGCGGCAGGTCCCACCCTCACTGACAAGCTTTGGAGTTGCGCTGTGTCCCAGCACTGCATCTGGCATTGCATATAGAAACTATGGGCAGACAGCTGTAAAGCAAGGTCCCTCTCTCCTCTCTCAAGGGGTTTGTTTATATTGCTCATATTTGAGAGCCAATGAAGGACACAAGGCAGCCGGGGTAAAATGCCAGCTTACTGGCAGTAACATCACCACCACCATCGTCATGGTGGCCTCCAGGACACAGCCCTGGGTATTCCCCCTTTACTGGCCACTCCTTGGTTTCCATCACTCCATCGTCTTCCTCTTTTGACCGGCACATGCTGGTCACTCGTCATCTTCTCTCTCTGGACTCTATCCCTGGGTGATCTTATATGGGTTTTACAAACCACCCCACATTTCAATCTCCACGCCTGCCCTTGCTTCTGTGCTCCAGACGCTTCCCCCAGCCCAGCTGCCTGCTCAGCTTCTCTACTGAGCTGTCTACTACCCATCTCAAACTTCATCTCTCTGAAACACAACTCAGCGTCCCTTGCTCTTCCCTGTCTTCGTCTCTCCCACGTCAGGAAATGGCACCACTATTCACCCTGGGGCTCAGGCTAAAACCCTCAATTCTTCTCTCCCATAACCACCTCCAAGGGCCTTCAAACACCTCCAACCATTCCCCAGCTGCTTTCCTGACAAGAGGCCGCCACTGCTTCCTGTGTGAGCTACTCCAAAGGCCTCTGGTTTCCCTTGTTCCCCCATGACTGCCTCTCCCCTCACCCCCACCCCACCAGTCTATTCCTCACATGACAGGCAGTATGACCTTCTGAAGTCCTTCATTTCCCTACTCAAAACCCTCCAAAGACTTCCTATCCTACTCCAGTGGTTTCACATGACTCAAAGTCTCTACCACTTGACTCATGTCCACCTCTTCTACCTTGTTTCTTGTAATTAATTTCCTCACTTGCTGGGGTCCAGGTCCTCTGTTCCTTCCTACAAAACGCCAAACTCCCAAATGCCTGAGAGCCTCTGTAACCGTCCTCCACCTGCCTGCCAGCCTGCCTGCCCTTTTCTCTGACATATGGAAGGCTTGTCCTCACTTCACTCAAGCTTCTGCTCAGAAATCCATTCCCCAAAGAGGGCTTGAAGGACCTTCTGAAGCTACCTTAGACAGCTTTCCTCTCTACTCCAGTCCCCATCATTCTTTGACCTCTTACCTACTTTTTCTCCTTTGTATTTTATTTTCACCTGAAATGACATGACTTATGTATTCACTCACTCACTGATTACCTCATGTCTTTCCTAGAATGAAAGCTGCATGAGGGTACTTTGCATTGCTGTCTCTGTATCCCAAAAACCTAGAATAGCATCTGGCATGAGGAGGACAACCCATATTTATTAACTGAGAGAACGAATAATGTACTAAAATTAGCAGAGAGATTTCTGTGTTGAAAGCACAATGCCCAGACCAGAGTCATTTCAGTTAATGCCCACAATAACTTGAAGTCCAAGGAATAGATGTAATGACCATTTTTAGGGTTAAGAGCACTAAGGACCTGTCACCCCACTAGGAAGGCATATACGCCCAGCATCTAAACAAACTTCCAGGGTGGGCAGCCAGTCACAGACTCCCACTCCCCCGGCCCTGGGAGTGGGCTTTGACTCAGGCCAGTCAGAATCCTGTCTTGTATTAATCAGCTCAAAACCGGGCAATGTTTCCTTTCCCTTTAGGGTGGAGCTGTGCAGACATGAGCCAGAATGCTGTCCACAGCACCGAGTCCAGCTTCCCAAGAGTGCTTGGCTGAGAGAAAAGGCAACAGTCAGAGAGACAGCAGAGATACGTGGTGGACAGCAAGAATCCTGAAGGCATTGAAGTTACAGGCTCCTACCCACTGTGAGGGATGCCTATCCCACGCAGTGAAATGAGATGACTCCATGAATTCCCATTTTTATCCAACTAGATGTGAGTTGAGTTTCTGCTATTTGCAACCAAGTATTCAGACAAAACCCCAAAGCTGATTCAAACTCTCAGGGTTCTAAAGATTGGAGTTTTCTGTGCACCAGAACCAAAACGGCAGAGTGGAGAAAAGACAGATCTATGGGAGGACCAGGACGGCCCTTCAATGCCCCTCCCTCTCCAGGTCTTAGTCCCCAGGTGGCCTGCTTGATGGCCGACCCAGCATGACTCATGCTCTTACCTGGGAAACCGGACTCCCACGGCAAACACAGTGATGCCCCTTTCCTTCAGCTTCTTGGCCAGCAAAGCCACATGCCCCTGGGACTTCCCATCCGTGGTGAGGATGAGGATCTGAGGCACAGAGCCATTTCGGCCCCCAGGGAACCCTGTGCGCAGAAGGTATTTCAGGGCAAGTCCTGTCTCTGTGCGTCCTCCTCTGTGCACACCCAGAGGGAAAAAAGAAAGAAACAAAGTGAGTGATCCTGGGAGGTGAAGTTGGGACGACAGCCTGAAATCAGTGGCAAAAGCTCTAAGTGACAGTTCTATCATCTAAATCACGAGATGATGAGCAGAAATTACGTTTGTGAACTTGGGGTTCACTCTGCATCTCTCTGTCGTATTCCGTAATACTGACACTCTTTGTGTATTGGGAGTTTTCAGTTTCTCTACACCCCCCTACCCTGGGATGACCTGGGTTGACAGCTTCTGTCATCTACCTGTCTACTCCCATCTCCCTGTCCCTATGTCATCCTCTTTTTGGTACAGCTCAATATTTTCTCAGGCTTAGAAATCAGAAAACTGAGCTTAGGAAAATTGTGTGTTAAGTAAGGATCCATAAGACAAGGCTTTGGTACAAAGATCCCATGAAAATCTTTTCTGTGATCCAAGCCTTTCTGGACGATGTCCAAGTTCAGGACTGGGAGCTGGAAGGCTGAGCTGTCTGACCACCCCTAGATAGGGAAAGGTTGTAGGTCCAAGCTCATCAAGATGCCAGTGGTCCTCAATTTGCCATGGCTCACTGAGATTCTCTAATTGCCACGGCTCAGTTATAGGGACTGTACATCAAACTTGAAATCCCAGTGTAAGACCTGCTAACTCTCAAATAGGAGGCTTATCACTTCAGAGAGGACTGTCAGCTTCGAGTGTCAGCTGGGTAGAAAATAATGATTCACTACAACAGATTGTAGGTTACTGAACTGTGAGATAATCCTAGTTGCAGCCAAACCATTCAGCACAGGGTAGCCCATCCAAACGTGAGCAACTATGTGAGGCTGATGGATCATTATGGTTATTAATTGGGAAAACCTCGTCACAGGATTATTCTGAAATATTAACTACAGACTGTGGATGGTAGAGGGAGGGACAAATTTGTACCTTGACCAAAAATTAAGGCAAGGCTTGCCTTTAATTCAGCCCTCTCAGAGGCGCCTACAGTCTTCCTCCTAATATGAAAACATCCAACTGACAAGAGGCATGGGCACTGTGCTCTGTGTGGATTTTGTTTTAACACTGAAAAATTTTTCGTATGCAGTCTGACACAGGTCTGATGCCCGGGCATCTCTCCTGTTTGGTTCTTCTCCAAGCAACTACTCAGGAATCTAGGGCCCTTTCATCTGTGGTACCACTTTCCTCTCCCATCTGCATAGTTCTCTCCATTCAGCAGAAAGATGGGGAAACAGCAGGAAGAGTGTGTTTGGGAAGAGTTCATGGATCAGGCCTAGAATTCTTCACTTTTATTGCTTTCTATCTTGATGTAAAACATACATACATATATCTACATCGGTTAAAAACCCACTTTTCAACTCACTAGTATTGACTGTGGACCCTTCACATGGAAGATAGGGGAAACAGCAGGAAGAGTGTGTTTGGGAAGAGTTCATGGATCAGGCCTAGAATTCTTCACTTTTATTGCTTTCTATCTTGATGTAAAACATACATACATATATCTACATCGGTTAAAAACCCACTTTTCAACTCACTAGTATTGACTGTGGACCCTTCACATGGAAGATAGGGAAATAGAGGCCAGGAAGTGTAAATAATCCCACCCCCCAAAATCAGGAACCACGGACAGCAAATAAACATTGATGCAAGGATACAAGTAACAAGAGTTCCAAGGAGTGAATTCACTGTGGGGTGTTAGGGAACAGGCGTGAAGGAGAAAGTGTGTCTGCACGGGGTCTTGGCACCCATTCCAACTGGGGGAAGGGAGCAAGCAAAGACACAGGTGAGCAGCACAGGCTGTGCTCTGGAGCTGGAGAGCAGGGCTTGGCTTGGGCTTCAGGCTTATCACAGAGGAGCACAGCGACACTGATGACTCATCACAGAAGAACAGAGTGTACCAACGTTAATGACCCCAACATCCCAACTCCTCCTACACCGTGCCTGGTCACACGTCAGATACCAAAGACAACCAAGTGGATTCTGATTCCCAGAATATTACTACCTTCAGCAAAGCTCTTGGGTCTGCAAGCGTCTTCCTCCAGAGCTCTCAGAAGGGCAGACTATCTCCCATTTCTAAAGAGTATTAGTACCGAGCTTCCTCTGTGTGCCAGACATTTCTCTGTTGCTGAATATGCTCCTGACAACTGTGGTAAAAGGTGCTAATATCATCCTCACTAACAGACAAGAAAACCCCTGCTCAGAGAAGAGTAAGGTAACTGCTACTATTTACTGGCGTTTGCCATGTGCCAGGCTCAGCCTCTGCTGTCTATCAGGTGCTCAGCATATCTCATGTGACCCCCATGGCAGAAGCAGGGGAGTTCAGAGAAGCGCTGCAGCTCGTGAGTGAGGGACCGGGGCATTAAGCCCAGGCCCTCCACTTTCAAGGCCCAAGTTGTTAAACAGACAGCTAGTCATCTGTCCCTCATCCTGTTCATCACAGTCAGGCTGATTTTAAAGCCACTTCTCTTTCCACTTCAAGGGCTGGTCTAAATCTGGCCTGTCCTCTGTTTTTATAAAGTTTTATTGGAAAACCGCCACACCCATTTATTTATGTACTGTCTATGCAGAGTCCGTATAGACTGCAAATGCTTAAAATTATTTACTACATGACCCTGAGTGAGTCTGCCAACTCCTGTTCTATGCTGCTCTGCGTACACGCTCACACAACTCTCTTCTCACCAAAAGCCAAGGTGCTCCTGTGGCTGTGAAGCACCCTGTAAAGCTGCCCCATGGGCAGTGTGCCCCATGAGCTGCTGGCTGTGGCCTGCCTTCCCGAGGTTCTCAGCTAGGCCTTGCTCTCTCTTCCCAAAGCTGCCTCTCCCTCCCTCCTGGCCCATCTGACCACTGCTGCTCTCCTGCAGGTGCAAAGCTTCAGGACTGAGAGGAAAAAGCACTGGGTCTCCACAACTCTGTTCCATTTTTCATACAGATCCTTCTTGGATCCTTCAGTTAACTGTGTTTCCTTTTCATTCACTACCCCCAGAAGGCTTGGGTTCAGTTCAGAGTTTCTGAGTGGGTCTGGACTTCCCTCCTCATAGCCACCAGCCTGTGGTTAGAAAGAAACTGAGTTGCAAGGGCATTAAGAATCCAGACCACCCGGGACACAGGCCTGACAGTGTCCACTTTTCAAATGGTTCAAACAAAAATATCCATGCCGGTCATCCTCTCTACCTCTGCACCCTACCAGGCCTCCCCCCTACGAACACTGCTGATTGTGACTGAGGTAAGGGGAGATTCACAACGGCTTCTGAGCTCTGGGAGATGGGAAGAAATCCTTCTGCTTCATATGAGGGCGTTTCTGTCTTAGAGTGTTCTGAGTTCAGGGAGCTATAGACAGGAAGGTCAGAGGCTAGAGTCTCACAAGACTTTTCTAATTTCTCTCCAGTGAGATTAAATTAGGTTGAAAAAGTTTAGGGTTCACAGATTGACTACTGTCTTGGGGGCTCTGATGACATTAACTTTTGGAGGGGGTAGATGGGGCTAGAATCTAAACCTTTTGCTATGGGTGTAACCAGGATTGACTGAGAGCATTGGCTCCAGAGTCGGCGAGACTCTCACATTAGTTGTATGACACCTTAGTGAGGCAAACTTGGGAAAGTTACTTAACCTGAGTCTCAGTTCCTTTCCTTGGTAAGTGGAGAGAGTAATAGTATTGTCTGAGGACCAAATGTTGCATCCAATGCCTCCTGGGACCTAGTGGGCATTCCATCGGGGGTAGTTATCATAACGAAGTCACCCACAGCTACTGTATTTTCTACTTGGGAGACTGAGGAAGGAGGATTGCATGAGCCCAGAAGTATAAGGCTGCCATGAGCTATCATCAAGCCACTATGCTCCAGCCTGGGCAACAGAGTAAGACCTCATCTCTAAAAAATGAATAAATAAAAGAAAATGAAGTTTATCTTATGAGTTTTGTTTGTTTGTTTTGAGACAGAGCCTCAAGCTGTCACCCTGGGTAGAGTGCCGTACATCACAGCTCACAGCAACTTCCAACTCCCGGGCTCAAGCAATTCTCCTGCTTCCTCCTCCCTAGTAGCTGGGATTACAGGTGCCTGCCATGACGCCCAGCTATTTATTTTTTGGTTGCAGCCGTCATTGTTGTTTGGTGGGCCCAGGCTGGATTTGAACCTGCCAGCTCAGGTGTATGTGGCTGGCACCTTAGCCGCTTGAGCCATAGGTGCTGAGTCATCTTTTGAGTTTTGTCTTCAATCCTAGTGTGCATAAAAAAAATCTCTTGGAAGACTTAATAGAGTTCTCAGATCTTATTCCCAGAGAGTGCAAACTGGTACAGATAAAACCAGGCCTGAGAATCTTCATTTTAAACTGGGCCCAAGAATCTGTATTTTAAATCAGCAGTTCTGATGCAAGTAGGCCATGGAACTGACTTTGAAAAATACTTCCTAAGAAAACCCACTGTAAGTACGAATATATTGATTACAGCTTTTGTTTAGTTTTTAGCAATAGACAAAAATCTTGGAATCAACCTAAATGTTTCCTTGTAGGGGAATGATCGAGTATGTTGTGATGGCCGAATTCTTTGGATTATTGTATAATCATTCCAAAGGATCAACGGGAAAAATAATCCAGCTTTATGCAAAAGTACACACAAAATAATACTAAGTAACAAAAAGACACTTTGTAATTCTAACTGTTCTAAAAGCTAGGCTGAAATGTTAACGTGGATTAAAAGAGGCCCAAGAAATCCATGAAACGTTTTACGTAAAGACAAAGTAGTGACAACGCTACAGATCCTGATACAGGCCTAGAGGGAGCCCAGAAAATTCAGTCCTAGAAAACTCGGGGCTGCATTCCTGCGAGGATGATGAAATGAGCAGGCCTGTGCAGCCAGCTGGCCGTGGGATCTGGCACTCACAAACCAACTGCCAGCATGTTTTAGCTGATTTTAGTCACCAAAGGCCGTAATATCAGAAGGTTTGAGTATAATATTTTTAAAAGTTCTTGTGAGGAAGCAATGAGGTTGTTGTCAGGGTGGTTTCTTAATTACCTCAAAACATACTTCCTGGAGATCACCTTGGTTTGGAAAGGCAAGTGTCCTGGGTTTGGGCACAGCGGCCCTAATGAGTCCAGCACTTAATAGTCCCCTGCAGAGGAAGGGCAGAGTGCCCGGAGCAGTCATCATGCCCTTTCGGCCAACATTCCTCTGCTCTCATTCATAACAGCATGTCTTCATTTTTACTGTCCTCAGTGACCCCACAACTGTGGCCCAAAATTAGTTCACCCCTCCTTGCCTTGTTTGTTCTCTCTTAGAGTTGTCCTAGGATATGTAAGTGCTCACCACACAGATCCTCAGAAGAAAAGCTGCTTCCCCCACTCCCAGTGTCCTCAGATGTCATGAATAATGCCCTCAAGCCCTTAGTTATGACTTTCTACACAGCTGAAAAGCAGTTCCACTAATTACTAGAGGTGGGTAGAAGGAGGAGGTGGCAGTGGGACCCCGGATTCTGGCCAGGTCTCCTGGTCCTTCTCAGGCTCAGCATCCCCCTCTGTAAAATAAGAGCTGGAATAGACACCATCCAATCTCTAACGTGCCTTTCTGTACCAATTCTTTGCAGTTTGCTTAGTTTTTCAGATGACAACAGTGCTGGATCATTTGGGTTAAAAATCACCCAAATGGCCTTTGACTTTCAGTCCTGAATTTCAACCAATAGGCTACTTCGTCTTCTGCGAATGTTTTCCTTTCCTGCAAATGCACAGGAAAGGCAGTCTGCACACGAAGGGTACCAAGCTCTCTGTATGACCTTCTTATTGATATCATTTATGTATCACAAAATTCACCCTTCTAAAGTATAAAAATTCAGTGGTGTGTAGTATATTCACAGAATTATGCAACTATCATGACCATCGAAGTCCAAAACATTTTCATCACCCTAAAAAGCAGCCCCATACTCCTTAGTAGCCATTCCTTATGTTCCCCCTCCAGCCATGGTAGTTTTATCTGTTTCTTGCCGTGGATTTACCTCTCCTAGACATTTCATTAAAAATGGAATCATATAACATATGAGCGTTTATAGCCTGGCTTCTTTCACTCAGCATCTGTTTCCAAGGATCATCCATGATGGAGCTTGAGCCAATTACTCCATTCATTTTTATGGCCGAACAGCATTCAGTTGTATGGATGTGCCACGTTTTGTTTATCCACGCATCAGGGGGACACCTGCATTGTTTCCATCTTAGAGCTGTCACACACAATGCCGCTATGAACATTAGTGTACAAGTTTTTGTATGTTTTTATGTTTTTACTTTTCTTGAAGCAGAACTGCTGGATCATACGGCAAGTGGATGTTTCACATTTTGAGGAACTTCCAAACTGTCTTGTAAAGTGGCAAGCACTGCGTCACAATCCTACAAGCATTATATGTGGGTTCCAATTACTCCACATGCTTGCCAAACACTTCTTATTTATTGTTAAAAAACACTGTTAAATTATTTATCATTAAAAAAATCGTTAAAAAGATACGCTGGGACTCTTTTTCTTTAGCGAACCAATTCTTGCATGCCTGAGGGGCAGAAGCCTCCCAGGGAAAAAGGAAAGGCCAGTGGGCACTAATGTGTTTATTTAAACACGTATCAATGTGCTTTCTCCTTCGACACTTTCTTGTATTTTATTTTAGCCATCCTCTTGGACATAGTATCTCAATGAAGTTCTAATTTGCATTTTCTTTCTTTCTTTTTTTTTTTTTTTTTGAGTCTCACTTTATTGCCCCTGGTAGAGTGCCATGGCATCATAGCTCACAGCAACCTCCAGCTCTTGGGCTTAGGCAATTCTCTTGCCTCAGCCTCCTGAGTAGCTGCGACTATAGGTGCCCAGCATAACGCCTGGCTATTTTTTTGTTGCGGTTTGGCTGGGGCTGGGTTTGAACTCGCCACCCTCGATATATGGGGCTGGCGCCCTACTCACTACACCACAGGCACTACCCTAATTTGCATTTTCTTAATGGCTGATGATGCTGACCATCTTTTCATGTTTGCATCTTGGCCACCTGTATATCTTCTTTGGAGAAATGTCAATTTACAAGGATTCTTTTGGGGATGATGAAAATGTTCCACAATTAGATTACGGTGATAGTTGCATAACTCCATAAATATGCTCAAAACCACTGAACTGTACACATTAAACTTATTCAATTTATGGCATATAAATGATATCTCAATAAGGCTGTATTTTTTTACAAAGTTGATATGGGTTAACAGTCATTGGGAAAGTTGGGGGTGAGAGAGAACTTTTACAAGTGCAGATTCCTATGTAGGATTCCAAAGAGTGGTTCAATAGGCTCCTACCAGAGTGATTCATACATCTGGGAGGGAGCCCAGGGATCTGCATTTTTAACATACTCCCTAGACAATTCTGACCCAGGTGGCTCTAAGACCTCGCTTTGGTAAGTGCTTCTCTGTGTGTCCGGCAAGATTTGGAGGCAAGGCTGGACGAACTCTTAGAGGCCCTAAGGGCAAAAGCCTCCTAGGGAAAGAGGTAAAGCCATTAGGCACTAACGTATTTGTTTAAATACATGTCCATGTGATTTTTCCCTTTGGCACTTTCTTGTGTATGACTTGCCTTTCCTTCTGTCCAGGGCACTCATGGGCAGAACAAAGGGCTGGGATAATCAATCTAAAATGAAGTCATGGAGGGCCCCTGGGGTCTCCTTGGGGTCACACAGCCCCCAAATTTCCAGCTGTGCCCAGTGTGGTGCCTCAGGCTTCTTGAGAACACTGTTGAACCTACAGGGGTCTGCAACTAGAAAAAGGATCTCAGAGCTTTTGCAATTGGAGGAGATGGCCATGAGTGGCTGGGACCACAGACCTTGCTGGGACTTCAGTGGACACTAATACAGAGGCAGCAGAGACCAGAGGGGATCCAGAGATCAGAGTGGCAAGGGAGAAAATAAAGTCATTCTGTGTGTGTGTGTGTGTGCATCTATATGTAACACATACATAGAGATTATATGTAGATATATAAAATACTTATACACAAATACATAAAAGCACACTCACATATCATACACAGACACACATCAACTGACGTGTGAGTAAAGATACAGCCCCACTACGCACAGGTTTGTAGGGGTGTGTATGTATGAGCACATCAACAGCAGCTATTCATCATTTTTAAAGCACTCTCAATAACAGAGGGTCACATGTCCTTTTTAGACCACAAAAATGAAGCTCAGAGAAGTGTGGTGAACTATCCAAGCTGCAGAGGTCACAGGGATAGAACTGGGATGGAGACCCAGTATTCCTCCTACCACCCCAGGTTTTTAATCCGTCTTGACCCTCAGTTGCATTTTCCTCCAGGTAACTGACAACTACACACAATAGCAGCAAATACTGTTTTTACTTGCATTTGAATTCCCACCTATGACATTTTCATGTAACAACAGTGATGTATACGTATGTATATGTGCATGTTATCTGTGTGTCATATGCAAATATAAAAAATCTATGAAATTATATACAGTAGAATCTCTGTAAGATGACCACCTGAGGGATTATAACAAGCTGGTCACCATAAGGAACAAGGCCTACTGTATTGATTTGTACATGTGGTGCATGTTCAGTGAATGAAAATTAGGTCAACTTAAAGAGGTGGCCTATGTAGGGAAGTGGTCAACCTTGGAGGCTCCACTGTATTTATATTACAACCTGTGAAGGGCATTCCCTTTTCCCACTGTGTGCAGCTGAGGCTCTGAATGCAGCCTATAGTTCTCTCTGTGAGGCCGAGAGCAGGGCCAAACGCTTTAAGAAAGAGATTTTAAGAGTAGCTGGTATCACCCTAACCACGGCAGTATGTGACCATACTTACTTGAAGACCATCTTCTTGATTTTCGCCTTTACTTCTTGCCGGGTTGAAAATGAATCCAAGGGGAATTCCAGATGTGGAGCAGAGCTGAACTGCAGGGCCCCCACTCTGACCTGCAGTAGGAGACAGGGTCAAGTTACAAACATTCCTAAGAGGAAAGAAGGACGAGAATGGTTAATGACCTTTCCTCCTGCCCACTCAACAAATATCAGTCTGGAGCTTTCTCCCTAAAAGAAGGTTCCAAAGACCAGTTGGAGAATCTGGAAAGAAACAGTCAAAGGTCTGCCTGGGCTCTGTACTGACAATGCTGGATTCAATCTTCTAGACCCACCCCCTTCTAAATGCAGCTCAACATTCTGGCAGCTTTCTCAGCTGAATCTGAGCACTTTAAGGGCAGGATCTCTGCTCACTTTTACCAACTGCCTCCCAGGCACAGGTTCCCTTTTGCAGAATCTCACATACTATCTCAATGAATCCACAGAGGCACTATCAATACCCACATTACTGCGGGAGAACTCCAATGTGGAGAGGATACAGATCTGGCCAAAGGCATAGACTTGCCTCCTGGAGAGGGTGCCAGGCCACTGGACTTAGAGCTAAGGGTCTTTGCTAAGGGTCAGCTATACCACCAGCCTTCCCAGAAGCAGCATACTGGCCAGCAGCCAACATAGGCCTGCAGCCAAATGTTTGTGGACCCAACTGGGGGATGCCACAGAAGCTAACCACAGCCACCATCACTGGCAGCTCACCACCAAACACAGCTACCACTGCATCCTTTGTTGGGTGGTCAGCCCCTCCAGGCTTGCTCTGGCCAAACTACAGAGGGGCCAGGTTTCCAGACCAGAGTCACACTAGGGGAAATTCAGTACTGGAAACTAAGACAGGCAATATCATAGCTGAAGTTCGTCTGCAGTGAGGGAATGAGAACACTAGTGAATCCAAACACATTCGTGTCCTGAGGAGGCCACAGGTGGAAATCCAAAGCCTTGCCAAACTGGAGAAGGCGAACTGAGTAAAGTCATTCTCTGGGGGTGGGGAGCCTTGGGGTCACATGTGGCCTCCTTGAATGTCACCTTTTGATCGAATCCTGATTTAACAGATTTTACAGGGATTGTTCTGTGAAGTTTGGATCTAGTCAAGGGGCCACACTTGGGGATCTGGAGGGCCCCTGGTGGCTTTGAGGCTGCAGGCTCCCCACCCCTGCAAAATCAGAGAAGGCTATAAACATTCAGGCTTCCTCTTGAAAGTCTAAGCCCTGCACCTAGTCCTTGGTTCTCCAAAATCCCTGGATAAACTTCCTTCCCCCTTACTATTCCCCTAGCTAAGCCCCCTTCAGGCCAAGCTTTCAAAGGGGGTAACTAACTCAGATGGAAGCAGTGGCCTGCCTTCTGGTCTCCACTTGAATCTCCTCCCTGACAATCCCTTGACAGGCCCTGGGGCTCGGGAGGTGGGGAAGTGCTCTGCCACACCAGGCCACCTGCTCCTAAGCACTCAGCTCAGCAGGCCCCCGAGTATTAGGCAGTAGTGTTGGATACTTTGAGCAGGAAAGAATCTGGGTCTTGGGTGGGCACATGGGGGAGAGGGATGTAACAGAGCAGGAAGTAAACTCGGGGAGCAGCTTCTGAGAAGAAACCCTTCCCAGGTCTCCCTCCAAGTTAGTGTGTGATAAAAAGGGTTCTCTCATGAGGAAAAGATGGTTTAGTTAGTAAATGACAGTGGGACAACTGTCAAAAATAGAGAGCCACCCACAAAGATAGAAGACAAATTACAAATGGAATCGAAGGTTTAAGTGTGACAAACCTAGTCATGAAAGTTTCAGAAAAATTCCTGGGAGAATATTTTAATTTCCAAGTGCAAAAGACCATAAAAGATTTATTATGACCTGAAATCCAGACGCCATAAAGGAAAGATGGAGAACTCTGAGTACATTTAAAAAAAAACAAAACTAAAATGAACAATTTCTTCAGGCCAAAACATATCTTAATACAATGAAAAAAGAAAGTAAAATGGAAAAATTATTTGCAACTCATGTCGGAGACCAAGGTTTAAGTTTCCTCAATATGTTATACAAAAAGAGTATCTTGAGGCTCGACTCCAGCAGCTTAGTGGCTAAGGCGCCAGCCACATATACTGTAGCTGGCAGGTTTGGATCCAGCCTGGGCCTGCCAAACAACAATGACAACTACAACCAAAAATCAGCAGGGCATTGTGGCAGGCGCCTGTAGTCCCAGCTACTTGGGAGGCTGAGGCAAGAGAATCGCTTAAGCCCAAGAGTTTGAGGTTGCTGTGAACTGTGATGCCACGGCACTCTACCCAGGGTGACAGCTTGAGATTCTGTCTTAAAAAAAAGAGTATCTAGGAGTCCATATAGAAAAGACCAATAAGCCAAGAGAAAATGGGCAAAGGATATGAACAGAGACCACAGAACAGGAAATACAAATAGCTCTTTAAGAGAAAGAGACTTGACCTCACCACAATGAGCGCCCATTTTTCCCAATCAGTTTAGCAGGAGGAAACAAACATTGCTGGGAGAAATGTAAATTGGCACAGCACCCATGGAGTGCAATTTTGTCAATATTTATTGAAAAGTAAAAAGATACAGGGATACTGGAAATTTATCTCCCAGATATCCTTCCACATATGTGGAATGATGTACTTACAAGATCACAATGTATCTGTAATGGCAAATAATCATTGCTAGGGGGTTGGTTAATTAGGCCTTGGTAAAAAGATCCTTATGATGGAATGTTAATTAGGTATAAAAAATAATATATGCCTGTATACAGATATGAAAAGATTATCAAGATAATATAAAGAAGAAAAAGGCAGGAGAGAGAAGAATGTATATAGTAAGCTGCCCTTTGTGTAATAAGGGAAAAACAAGAACATATATTCACATTGCTTGTTTGCATGAAATGATTCTGGAAGGATACTCAAGGATACAGGTCAGGGGGCTGAGCAAATGGAAAATGTGTGGGTGAGAGGGAGGCTTTTCACTGTGTATCTTTTTATTGAACCATGTGAATGAATTAGTTGGAAAAAAAACTCCTCTGAGACCAACAGCTGGGTGTATTTACCTGGGTTAAACAGGAAGGACACAACCTCAAACAAGAAGGAAACAGCTTCAATCAGTAGTTAAGACATTTTATTTAATTGGCGGTTTGGGAGCAAAACAGTTGCCTTTTATCTTTAGTTTACTGTACGCTCTGAAGCAAGTCCACCCAGACTTCTCACCACACCGTCATCACTCCAGCTGTGCAGGAAGTGAACTTCTCAGCTTTTACGTTTTAGAAGGGACGCTTCAAACACCTTAAAACTACCTCAAAACGAGTGAACATTCATACAATCCTCAGTGTATAGCTACTTGAAAATTTATTCCCCCAAACTAAAGTTACAGCAAGTAAAACAAGACGCGAATGAAAAAATTCAGCAGCAGAAACAAAACCCAAAGCCACAGATCAAACCAAACCATCTCCAACTGCCCTTGTGCAAAACCGTTCCTCCACTCCCGGACCAGAGGAGTCTACGTAACCACTGGGATGTGAAGACACTCGCCCACTTACCCAAGTATACACTCACTGACTCCCCAGATGCTGCTGTGGGAAAGTTTGTCTCAAGTGAAGCCCAAATTTAACTCCCAGAATATCCAGATGCTTCCCTCCTAATAGAGACACTGTTCACCCTTTTTCATATAAAAATGACCATCAGGTTCCCTCCTGATGTTTTCAGCCTCTCACTGTCCTGGTTTCCTCCCACAGACACTGTTTTTGACAACATCTAACCTAAAAACAAGCCCCCAGAACTCAACGCCACATTCTAGACGTGGGTGGAACAGCACAGGAATGCTTCTTGTCATGAATTTCTTACCCTGCTCACCCCCATACACTGCCACACCGCTGGCTGGCCATTTGCTGTGTGATAATGGGATGTGAATTCTGAGGGTCACCACTTCATTCTGGTCCAGAGGCTATCCATAGATAGCCTAGACAAACAGCCTAATGGAGCAAGAACCCAGCTCTTCCACACACAGCTTGTTCTTAAAATTGCTGTGCAACCCTCATCAGTCACTAGCCTCTCTGAGCCTGCTTCCTCATCTGTAAAACAGGCACCAATAATCCACATAACTCTTGTCTTCCAACGTGCTGTCCTCAGGGATCTCCAGGTCACTCATTTCAGGACACACCCTGTTAATGCCAAGGTCAACAGTGTTGGATCTTTATGCCACCTCCTCCATGAGTAACTAGCAAAACTTCACCGAGAATCCTTTTAAAAACAGGTTCTGTGTGGAGGAGCAGTGTGGGGATTCAGCAGTCCTCAGTCCCGGTCCTTCAGGGTCTGTGCTGGGTTGACATCATGGTCAGAATTTCTGTCTGGGCTACCCGTGCTTAGATTGAATGGTGTCTGCTGTGGTGCAAGGCTGCCTGTGGTCCAGGGTAATGCGCTCCAGCTCCCAATACGATGCCATTCTGGAGAAAATCTGGCCCTCATTAAAAGCCAGTTTTGCTCCTAAATCCTGGAGGCTTTACTAGGATTAACCTAGGAATGTTATCTTGGAAAACCACTTCCTTCCTCAACCTGTATGTGAGTAGTCTCTAATTTAACTAATGATGGCTTTCCAGACCAAAATACTTTTCTTAGTTTTGAACTTCAATTTTTATGTGGTTCAAAATCCACCAAGTAGAAAAACCTCTGTATTGAGGGGTCTCCCTCTGAACTTGAGCCCTGTCTGCTCATTCCCACCACCTCCCTCAATGGGAAATCACTGTCCTTAGCCTCTTGCAAATCTCGCTCCGGAGTTTACACATACACAAGCAGGAAGAAATATAGATTCTCATTCGTTATCCCTTATTTTTTACATTAAAATAAACATATCATACATACCATCTGCACTTTACTTTTTTTATACTCACTTGTTCTGGTGTCTGTCTATGGCAGCTGTCCTGTACTTTATTATATGAATGCACTATATTGGATTTATTTGTCCCCTCTCAATGTACATCTTGGTTGCCTGAAATCTTTGACCATTACAAATAATGCTGCAGTGAATAACTCTGTGTGGGTATGATTTTGCATGAGGCAGGGGAGCATGTGTAGAACAAATTCCTAGAGGTAGAACTGCTGGCCCACACTTTGTAAGGGTCTAAACGTTTGATGAATATTATTATATTCCTAAATAGAGGCAGCACCATTCCACACTCCACCAGCAGTGTATGGGAACACTAGTTGCTTAAAATTTGCCAGTGGAGCATGCCACTGAACTGTGAATCTCTGCCAGTCCAGTCAGTGGGAAACGGTATGTTAGATATTTGCTATTACAATGAGTGAGGCCAGGCATCTTTCCATATGTCCATCTGAGTTTCAATCCTGGGAACGACAGTCTGTTCACTGCCCTTTTTTTCTAGCAGGTTGTTAAAAAATATCCCTTTTAAAAATAAGAACTGTGGCTATCACACTCTGCTGCTACTTAAGACCTACTATTTAAAGAACAAGAAATGAAGATACTGGCTAGACTCAACTCAGGCAGAAGCAGTCCATTTCAAATGACCAGAGACTAGGGCTATCCTTCATATGAAGACTCCAGTCTGCTGAGGCAGTCCTAGTTTCGGTCTGCTCAGCATGCTTGCCCTTTCCTATTGTTATGCAAACACAATCTCTCTTTGTAGGGCAGCAAGTTCTCAACCTGTGGGTCACGCGACCCCTTTGGGGTTCGAACAACCCTTTCACAGGGGTTGCCTAAATACATCCTGCATATCAGCTATTTACATTACGATTAATAACAGTAGCAAAATTACAGTTATGAAGTAACAAAAACGAAAATAATTTTATGGTTGGGGGTCACCACAATATGAGGAATTGTATTAAAGGGTCATGGCATTAGGAAGGTTGAGAACCACTGTTCTAGGGGGAAATCAAATCTACTTCTCACCCTCAAAAACCTGACTCAGATCTGGCCAGAGATTCCTTTCCTTCTAACTACTGTGATTGGTTAAGGGATTACCTTTTATCTTGTGACCTCTGCCTGCCCAATCAGAGCCCTCCCTGGAACTTTTGCCAGATCTACAAGGAAAAAAGTCTTATTCTTTACGGATGTCACTAGCTTGCAGAACAATCCAGAGCAATTCTGCTGTGTAAGGAAAACTCTGCCTGGGAAGGAAGCCAACCAAGGAAAGCAAAATTGAAAAGAGAATAAAAGAAAGACACCTGAAAGCTTTGGCTGAGTCTCAGACCCACTGTGCCTGAAACCAGGATTCACCCCCTTGAGCTTCTCAGTTCTGCAGCCAGTAAATGCCGCCTTTTGCCTATGACAGGATTTCTGTTACTGGCAACCAAAGACTGGTAAGACTTATACTCACCATCTCGGAGCTGATGTCCAGAGCATCACAGACTGTGATGGCAAAGTGCTTGGACCTTTCAAAGCTCCCTTTCCCGATGCTGTGAGACCCATCTAGCAGAAACAAGACGTCCATGGCAGCTGAGCACCACATCACTGGAGAGAGGGGGACAGACGGGGGACAATCAACTTCCTTGTGGTTTACAGGCAAGTGAGTCTCACTCCCAAAGCAGAAAGGAGGCAGAAGCAACCTTGTGGGTGAGCCAGGCTGCTGTTCCTCTCAGCACAACAGGAGAGAGATAGACTATGAACAGCCCAGGCCAGAGGCAGCGCTCCTCTGAAGTGAGCAGCACACACTCGCCACAGACATGAACATGAAAGTCTTGTAACAACAGAAGAATTGAGTTCAACAACACTAATTAAGCCCCACAAGAGGGTCTCCCGGGCCAGTGGGGGATACTGAAAAGCCATGGTCCCAGCAACGTACACAGCCAGGCACCAAAAAGTTCAAACAGCAGTAATAACAACCATGTGGAGGGACACTGATTAGGGGGAAGAGGAAGGAAGACAGAGGGAGGCAGGGGGTCTGGGTGGACAGTAGTCAGGTGACAGGAGACCTGGAGGTGCAGGCCAAGAAATTCAGCAATGGAGATTTACTGAGTTTGTTTAGTTTCGTCTTTTTAGCAATGAGAGTGACTTAGGCCCCTGTCTAGGGAAAAGGACTCTGGCCTCAGAACAAAAGGAAGACAGGAAGGGGACAGAAACTCCCCAGGGAACACAGTTTCCCCTGGGTCGGTCCCTGTGTTTGGACAATTAACAAAAACGCAGGCTTACTTTTGCTGGCCACTGAAATTTTCCCGATGGTCTCCTTGCTCACAAGGACTTCTTGCTGAGGGAGGGAGGGGGTTACTAGAAGAGAGAACACAGAGGTCAACATTACCAGGCAATAGGGGAGGAATCTCAAGCTCCACAGTATGTGACCAGAACAAACAGATAACCGGACAGAAAACAGGAACGAGGAGGTCAGTGACCCGCGCATCACACCAATTACCACGTGGATAGTCAACTAAAGGAAGCCCCGTTCCATCTCCCTGAGGCTCGGGGGAACGGGAAGGTGGTGACAGCACTCGCAGAGACACAGAACAGGGAGGGACCATAAGAAAGAACCTCAGAGGCCACAGTCCAACCCCCTGGCTTTCCAGAAGAGGGTCCTAGGTAGATGTGGCCATGCCCCATGCTAGGTGCCTGGGTTATGCAGCAATAGATAAGGAATATGCGGCCTCTTAAGCTTAAACACAGTGGAAAAGATGTAATTTTTAAAAAATTCACAGAAAAGTAAACTCACATTTGTATGAGGGCAGGGTGATAGGAGGTTTGAATGGGGGAAATCCGACCTGATCTGCGGGTCTCGGGGGAATTGTGCTAGATCCTGAAGGATGGGTAGGAATTTACCAGGGTGGCAGTGTTGGGGTGCCGGGTGACCCAAGCAGAGGGGCCGCTGTAACTCAGAGCCTCTCTGGTGTGAGTGAACGAGAATGCTGAGCAGAACTGGAAGGAGTGTGGGGCTGCCATGAAGAGTAGGAGGGGAGGGCACAGCAGAAGGGACTTGACAAGGCCATACAGCATCAGGCAGGGCCTCTTAAGTGCAACAGAAAGTCACCTGAAAGTACTAGGTAGGGGTGGAGAGGGGTCCACATGTGATCAGATTTGCATTTTGAAATGACTCCCAGATAGACCCAGGGAGACCAGCCAGGAGGCTACTGCATTGGTCTAAGCACATGATGATGTGTCTTAGACTAGGCAGTTGGCCATGAGGTAGAGAGACACAGCTGGATTAGAGAGACCGTCAGAAGTTAAAAATCAAAGGGATTTGGGGCCCGGAGAGGTGGTTTATGCCTGTAATTCTAGCACTCCTGGAGGCTAAGGTGGGTGGATTGTCTGAGCTCAGGAGTTCAAGATCAGTCTGGGCCAGCAGTTCTCAACCTATGGGTCACAACACACAGGAACTGTATTAAAGGGCCATGGCATTAGGAAGGTTGAGAACCAGTGGTCTGGGCAAAAGCGAGACCCTGTCTCTACTGAAAAAAACCAGAAAAATTAGCCAGGTGTTGGGGTGGGGTGCTTGTAGTCCCAGCTACTTGGGAGGCTGAGGCAAGAAAGAAGATTGCTTGAGCCCAAGAATTTGAGATTGCTGTGAGCTATGATGCCACCAGGGCAACAGAGTGAGACTCTGCCTCAAAAAAAAGGAGGGGGGGAGATTTAAAGCAAACAACCCCCCAGTACTTCCCCCACACCTGCCCATCACCAAAAAACATCTTACCTCTGGAAAACAGGAAAATGCAGGCGGCTTCTAGCAACAGGAAAGAGGGCATGTTGATAGAACTAGAAGGGCCAGGAAAAGAAATGAAGCATCAACAACTGCTCCCGTCAACTCCCTACCAGACAAGACAAGAACAGGCCACAGATAATGTCCCCAGAGGCCCCTTGCACCATAATCACTACTGGAGTCCAGAGGAGGTCCACATTCCCAAAAGCCACAGAAGGCTGCTCTCCAAGGACTTTGATTTAAGTAACAGTCTAATACTGTTATTATTCTGGTGTTCCAGAACACCACTCTCAACCCCAAATCTACCTCAGCCCCGCATAGACTCCGGAATGTGTGCTATGTGCAGAGCTAAGAGTCCTGGGGCTCAGCCCTGCTTGGGTCCTGAGCAGCCACGTACCCTCCACTTTAAGAGGAGTGAGAATCTGACAAGTTCAAGATCTGTTTTCAATGTCCTCAGTCTCGGAAACCTTCTAGTGAGGTTAACAAACCTTTCCCTAGCTAAGCTGACAGCATCTAAAGAAAGCCTATATATCCTAAATTACTAATAAATAGTAATTTGGCTGAGGAAGGAGAAAAAGTAATATCTAAGGTTTGTATCACTCAATAACGTGAAATTTCATTCCACAGAGCCTGGTTATTTATCACGTTTTTGGGGGGGAGTATCTAGGGTGATAACCTCTGTCTTTTAATACAAAATGATAGACTCTAATTCCCTAGGGGCACACACCTGAGGCCCAGGTATCCCAGCCTGCCCATTTCAATCACAGACACAACGCACAGTGCAGACAGGCTTACGTTCAAAGGGCAAATAGCTGGTATAAGGACAGAAAGAGGCTGAACAGAATCAAATTTAGACTCCCTCTCAGTGTAAATAAGCAGGGAAAAAATCCTAAAAATACTGTAATAATAGAAACTAGAAATTCTACTTTTTGCCTTTTGGGATCTAGTACATTCAAGATCACCCTCTAGTTTCTCTGCATTAAATGTGCCCGCTAAGAGAAGACTTGGCAAGAGTGAGGCCAAGCTGCGTGCAGGTCTTACTAAATTCTCCTTCCATCAAACAGGTAACACTGACACTCATTCAGGAGCTGATTCCAAAGAGGAAACCCAGGGCAGAGAGATGGAGAGGGAACTACAGAAGGACTGTAGGACAGAGCGAGGCCAGATGCGTGTGGTATCACCAGTAGGAAACTCACTTCAGCCTGACGCTCTCGAATCTGAAAACCCCTCTGCCATCTTGAATATGCACCACTCTCTGAAGAAGGTGACAAGGCAGGAAGGCCAGACCATCCTCACCTCAATGGGAGAAGCGTCTGTTCTCCAAAACATGGCAGCCTCTGACCTAATCTGCACTCCCAGGAACTCTCTCACTTGCCTGGCGTGCTCCATCACCTCTGCCAGGGCACAAAGGCACACCTCCCAGCCTCCAAATTCAGAGGATTTGCTGAGCAGGCTGAGAGCTATGGCTACCCTGAAAATTTAAGGTTCCCAGAAAATGCTGCTTCTTTTGAATTGCGGAGAAGTTTAAAATGACCTCAACCCATGTTCTTAAACTTCGGTTGCTAGACCTTACTTGAAATCGCAGGAAATAGGGATGCACAGCGGGGTGGGATGGGGCGCTTTCATGGGACACTGCTTTCCCCTTAGGTTTCATTCCCACCCTTGGGGAGCAGGAACAGGATGAGAGGGTTATAGTCTGATGGGAAGGAAAGAGGAAGCCGAGAAGGAACCCGCTGTCCTGTACCTCAGACACAGACGGAAGAGGTCTCTGGGCCTCCAAAGGGGTTGGTTGCAGAGATTAGGTCCCCGGCTCCTCCTGGATGTGCTTCCCTCTAACCATGGAGCCCAGGGCAGCTCAGGAGGACTTGAGCCACTGCTCGGGACTCCACTAACACCAAGAGGGGCCCCTGTAAATGACCGCTTGACAGGAAGCAGGGCTTAATTATAATTACCCAGGCCTGCTGGCAAAGAGCCTGGAACACCATCAGGGACCTAGCTCCCATCCTGATGCCCTATGACCCCGAGGGAGGCCATAGTTCCTCATTTGCAAAACACGGAGAAGGCCCAGATGCTACCAATGTGTCTCTGTTTTAAAAATCCCGTTTGATCCTCCTGCATCATGGACCTGCAATGGTCAGACCTTACTTGGCTCTCCAGATTTCACAGCAGCCCTGAAACAAACTAAGACAAATGTCTCAACCAGCTGAGAGCCTATGCACAAAGTCTTCCTGCTTCCAATAACACAGAAGCTCAAGTCTTCACCTAATCTAAATGAAAATTGACTGTGATATTCCAAGAGTGAGGAAGTCGTGAGCTCCCCAGACGTGATCAAAGGGCGAAAGGTGGCCAGACAGGACACAGGCCTGCTGAGGGGCTCACAGGAATCCTGCAAGCTTCCAACCCCAGCACAAGTCAGCAAGACAGACTCTGTGGCTTTCCTTTCCTCTCAGCACATGTTATTCTATACCACAGATGCGGGACAAGCCTCTACCTGCTCCGTGGGAGCCAGGCAGTGGTGAAGCGATGAGGATGAGGGCAGTGCAAGCAGAGGTGAAGGGCTTCTCAATGCCACCTAGCCCTTAGATTCAGGATGTAGCTGGAGTTACAGCTTCTGACCATGGGTGCATGCAGGAGACTGAGGCTCAGGCCTGTTAATTATTTACAAAATCAAGATTCCAGCAGCCAGCTTCCCGACTGCTGTGAGGCTGAGGTGGAAAGGAGTGTCGGAATTCATGGTCATGCAGAAAGGCACCCAGTAGGCACACACCCCCTCACTCCTTCTAGGAGACCAACTTCACCTCACTCTACTCTGTACCTCTGCGTGCCTAGTTCAGTGTTTTCAGAATCTCCCAAGTTTTTGCTCTTTAGAACAAAATGTATGTTGGTGATTTGCAAATGGATGCAAGATGCCAGATACGTCCACCTTACAAGCACTGGGACCAGATGGCAACTTTAGCCACATCTCCCGTCCTGGCCCCTCAACACATCATCATTGCATAGCCCCTCATCGCACGGCTCAGGAAAAACCATCAGTGATATGTGTGTCTTCACTGCAGGCAGCAAATGCCTGAGGCTAGCACTGTGTCGGGGTCTCCCCTAGAGCCCTGGTGACCTGTACATTCCGGTACATAGCTGGGGGAAAACATGCGTGTGGAACAAACAACGCTCCAGAATGCCCTCTGCCGATGGGCTAGAGGGAGCCTTCCAGATGCATTTTTGCATTCACTTAATTCACTGCACTTTTTTATACCAAGATAACAAAACAAATGCTATTTCAGTGCTGACAAAGTATTGTTACCACTCTTTGACTTCTCACCCAATCATCTCAAATATTCAGTTTATTTCCCACTCATCACATATCAGAACTTTCTTACAATACTAATTTGACATCCAAAATATAGCCCTACACCTGGAAAAGTTTTTTTTCAAAGAATAAATTCCACAGTAGAAGTCAATACCTACCACCATCCAGTGAGCTTTTACTAAGTGCCTGCCACCAGGTTCCTCACAGCTGGCAAGTAAGGATACAATATTCCCATTTTGCAGATAAGGAAACTGAGAGGCATAGAGAAGTGTTTTCCCCAGGCTGCACAACTAATCTGTGGATCAGAAGCCATTCTGGCCTCCCCAAGATCTGTTCCTTCTGTGACCTTTTCAACTCTGAGGAAAAGACTCTGGGAGCCACCATATAATGTTTAACTAGCTGGGCTGGGGGCAAGAGGGGACACTCTGGCAGAAGTCCAGGTTCCAGGAAAGAAGGCTACTAACTATAGGCAGTGATAAAACAGCAGCAGCATAATTAAAAATCTGCCAGCCCAAACCCTGCCCTTGGGTAGTTTTCCACCCAGCCAATAATACCTGCCAGCAACTCCCACACTCAAACATAAAACCTGAGATTCTCAGGGCCCTCTGCATTCTTGGGCAAAGCAGTTGGGAACAATCTGCAAGCTAGGGGCAGGAACAGACTGCTCCTTCCCAAGTACACCTAGTCAAGCCTTCTCCATTTCAAAATACCCAGCACATCACCTGCCTTCCTTTCTGTTCCATTACTCATGCTAATTTCATGTTGTTCCTGACTTCTGGGACTCTCATGTGTAGACTTAGGTGTGTCCCCCGCCCATCTCCTCATCTGATTGTTGCCTTCAGATCCAGGTCCCACACAGAACCGGCACCATTTGGGCAGCAGGTGAGTGAAGAGTGCTGCAGGAGGTCACAAAAACATCCCACTCTACACCATCCTGAGTTTACGTCTCCCACTGCAGCAGGAAGGAACAAAGGCCAAACAAGGTTACTTTCAGAAAAGAAGGGCTGGATTGGTGATAGCTGAGGGCAGTTTTGCAGGACAATGCCTGCCTTTTCCTCTAGGATGTGAAATGAAACAGTTATAGGGTGAAAGAGGAAACCACTTCCACCTCCTTTCAAAATGCAATTCCAACCCCAAATATTATTAGATTAGCCCCTGGCAGCCTCTTCCGAATCAGCGGGATGGGAATCTGAGCCCTTTTACAAGAACAGTCAACACCTGAACAGGAAGACTGAAATCAGAGGTAAAAGTCTCCAGCCAGGAAGTCCTTGCTGTCTTTCCCTGTAACAACCACCTTCCTTGTCCCTTTGGCAAAATACCTGGCTCAGGACCAGAGAGTCAGGAATGTGGACGGCAGGTTTCTAGTTGATATGGGGTTAGAGTGTTTTACAAGATGCTCAGGGAAAGTCATGCTCCCTGAAATATATCGGCAAGTTTTCAGAACCCAGCAGCCTAACAACCTAAAGTCAGCACCCAAGGACAGACAATATGCTGTATTTTGGGTTTTTGGTTTCTTTTGAGACAGGGTCTCTCGTTCTGTTGCCCAAGCTAGAATGCAGTGGCATCATTGTAGCTCAACCACAACTTAGAACTCCTGGGCTCAGAGATCCTCCAGGCTCAGCTTCCCTCGTAGATGGGAGGGTACATGCAATTAGCCGACCTTGCTCGGCTAATTTTTTTTTTTCTTTCTTTTTTTTGTAGAAACAGTGTCTTCCTATGTTGTTCAGGCTGGATTCAAACTCCTGGTC